GTGTTTCGGAAACGGCCATTTGAAGAATTTGCCGTTTGCGGGTTTAGCGGCTGTAGTGGTGTTCTCCCGGCTCTGCCAAATCCGCTTGTGTATTTTCAATTGCATCTGCCCAATTGAGGCCGATCTACCAAGGCTCTTTAGGCTCCGAAGTGCCGATGCACCAATTTGATGCACCCTTGACGCAATGCAGCAACAGAAACCCACCAAATTACCAGCCTTCTCTACATCACCCATCTTCAAATGCTAATCGTCCCTCCTTATCTTCCTTATATCGCCTACACACTGGTATGGCCCGCTTTTGAGACATGTCGTCTAAGCCTTCTGCACGGCGCATGCGTTGACACATAACGTGAATGTCAAGTGAACCCCTACTCTTTTTCCTCTTTGCCCTTCTTGTCGTCCTGCTTGTCTGTCTTTTGCTTTTTGCCAGGACGCGCCTTGGGACCCCAGTTGGCCGGGCTCTCCTGGTACCGCAACATCTTGATTTTCCGGAGCCTGTGGATCTTATCGCTCACCTCGTTGTTTGTGTCAAAATCAACCTCTCTCTTGTCGTTTTCAAGCTTCTGGAGCGCCCTGTACCCTGCCAGCGTCTCGCTGAGACTCGAGCTGCCGTCCGGGTTGGCTTCAAGCTGCTTGATGGTCTCCTCCTTCTGTTTCCTCTTTTCCACGTTTTTGGCACTGTCCAAGCTGCCCTTGAGCTCTTGGAGCCTCTTTTCGTTGCCCTTGCGTAGCCACCTGGCCGCAATCAAAAGAATGTCCTCCCAAGGAGCGGTGGTCTTGATGGCATTGGCTTTGGCATGCGTGAGCGAGACATCGTGGCCCAAATTGCCCACGGCACGGGTGAATTCTGTGATTGGGATCGTGGATGCTCTAAACAAGCTGGGTAGACGGCCTAGACTGAAGTAGAACGGCGTCTCGAGCTCCTGCTTGGCCAACATGAGCATACCCTTGATCCGCTCAGTGGTGCCGTACACCTGCTTGTCTGCACTGGAGTTGATTTCTAGCACCTTGTCGATGAACTCGTGATTGTGGAGGTTGCCTCCCCACATAGGCCCAGCAACGTGGAAAGGACTGTTGCAGCATGGACAGTTAGGACCCACAGAAGCGGCCTTTGGGGTCTGAAACTTACCTCCTGTGTTACGGCCCATTCTCTGCTCCACACGGTAGCCACAGCCAATGCAATGGTGGATCATCATCATGGTCGAGGCCAATTGCTTGACCTTGGCTGGACTGGTCTTGACTCTCACAAACACTCTGAAGTAGTAGTCAATGCTCAAACTGAGCACAGGCTCAATGGCCTTTTTGTGCTTGGCGGCCACGCTGGCAATGGTGGAAAGCATGAGCCGAAGACCAGCCTCGTGGTTGGTGTCCAGACCAAAGCTGGTGTTGCCAAAGTTACTACCTCCGTACAAAGCATAGCACTTCTCTGGGTACCCGTTACCAGCGAGAACACCAGCATCCGTGCAAGTGACCATAAGCAAGCCGTCGTCCAACACGGCTCTCACGGCGTTTTCCAAGAATGGCGCTGCTGTTCCGTATGGATCCAAGTCCACAGCATGGAATCTGTCTTTCTCAGGAATCGAGCCCATGTACGCTATGGCGTCGCCTTCGTGGCCCTGGACCAACTTCAGGAGATCGTTGTACTCGGCCGACCGGTTGATGGATTCAACGGCAGCTGGAAGCAAGTCGTTGGCGATGATTTTCGATACTTGGGGCACTTCATGACCGTACCGTAATGCTCTGAGCCCCGAAGCTGAGAGAGCTTCGAGAATACGAACAAACTTCTTGTCTTCGACAGTCTTGGTTTCGCCGTTCTCGTCAATCTTTCTCTTCTTCAGCCTGGTCTCATTATGCTGGTCCAACCAGGCTCTCACTGCCATAACAGAGAGATCTCTGTTGAATTGCTGGATGTGGTTGTAGAAAACCGTCTCCTGCTTCGGCACAAGCACCAGGGCTTTGCCCTCCTTGATCACGTTGTAGTCCTCGACGTTGATGGCCATTTTGCGGAGGAATCTGGGGATCAAACGAAGCATACCAATTTTTCGCATCGCGATGATCATCACCATACTGGGTGAAACCAGACAACCAGGATAAAGAATGATTTAGCAAGACATTTTGTGAGCTTCGGGCTCGATTGGCACAATGTGCCGCCTACGTGGAGACGGGCCCTCCACGGCTCGTCATAGTCGTGTATGTCATAATACATAGTAAGTACAAGGCCCCATGGCCCAACCGGCATGAACAACATAGCAAAACGCATTCTGGAGGCAAAGATCGGGCTTTGAACATTGTAGTTAATTTGCTTCCGTGAATGCTGGCGCTCTTTGTGATTAGTGTTGCAGCCATACCGGCAACATGCGGCAAACCTCTCCGTGGTCGGATCATGAATACGCAAAAATCGACGTGTCCATAGACTCGACATTGTAATTGTTTGCCCATACTGCTCTTCCTTTATTCTTTTTATGGTACACCGCCTTGGAGGAGCTCCACCTTCAACGGGTGTCTCCTGGTCGCTGTCTCCTGCACCTTCCTCAGTGGTCAAAACCGAACCACTCCCTCAACAACCACCCATGTCCTATCCCACGCTAATAGACACCCTGGATCTTGCCGATCTCGCTCAAACAGAGCCTCAGGAAGATGACACGGACATCGATTACTATTCCGAGCTGGATTCGGAATACTACCTCACCGCGCAAGAGCAGTGGGAAGAGTCCATCAAGCAGATCGAGGGACTCGTCAATTTCGTCATAGTGCCGCTTGTGGGAAAGCTTCTAGGGCGGCGCACAGCACATGTGCTCTGGAGGAGGTTTGCCAATTGGTACTTTCCATAATTAGATGTTGGTGATGAGTGTCTGGAAAGCACCAGCAACATTAGTGTCCACGAGCTCGGTCACCAAGGTCTGCACGAAAGGACCCACGATGCCAGCGTCAACACGGTGTAAAATCGCCTTGGTGAGACGCACATAGTCGTCTGTGGACAGCACAAACTCTGAGTTGGGCGTTCCACTCAGATTAAGCGATGTATACGATAATAGAGAAGAAGTGTCGCCGTCACGCGTGCCGCCTTTCTCAGGCGCCTCGGGCAATTCTCGTAGCAGCAGCTCGAGGATGTCGTAGATCTGGAGGAGGAGTAGAAGCACGACCTTGTAGGTGAACAACGCGTCAAGACGAATGTTAATTTCGAGCTTCTCGATAAGCAACTGACGCGAGCTAAGCTTTATAGGTGAAGCATTGACGCCGTTCAGACTGTTTTGGGAGCCATTGGCCGAGGTTTGGTCGCTGTCCACGGGCGTTAGTTTGGTCTTTTGGGCAGAATATGGGGAGGAGCCAATGTCAAAGTTTTTGAGAATGTGGAACAAATTCTGGGCGAAGCGGATATGGTATACCTGTACTTTATTCCCCTTCAAGCCGTCGTAGTCATCACTGAACGGGTCCACCGTTTGGGTAGGAGCCTTTTTAGCCATTTGTGCATCACGAGCCTCCTTGGCCTCCAGGGCTTTCTGTTCATTTTCAAGCATCTTGAGAAGGTTTCCAAACGAGATACCCAACTTCAAGAGCTTATTCACCTGGATTGGGAAACGCAGGTCCCACGCTGCTTCAGAGAAGTCTAACGCTGCCATGTCTTCTGTGGATATATTGTACACATCGAGGAAACTGGGTCTTTGTTCGTTTTTGCCAAATGGCACGGCCTCAAGCACGTGCCGTACAAGGTCTCGCTGGGAGACAATGTCGTCGTTTACGGTCATGGTGGTGGAGTAGTAGTAGTAGTAGGTAGTAGTAGTATTAACCGCGCAGAAGTGTTGACAATCCATATATGTACGGATGCGAAGACCAACTAGTTGATGTTTCTCTTGGGCACGCTAATAATCGTTTTCGGGACGCTTGTGGCGGTGCTTCTTTTCGGAGACCAGCCTCGGTTCAGAGGAACCTGGCTCCATCGTCTATATAAGGCGGTGAACCGGGCCAATGGGAATGCTGCTCATTGGGTGGTTGGCTTCACCACTGGGAACCCTATAGTCGGGCTGGTTTCGCGGTGGCTGATTCCGCTGTTTTATGTGGGGATCATCTGCTTCTGTGTGAATTTGTTCTTCTCCAATGTGTATGGACAACTCCCGGTTCTGATCAAGAACTCCATCCTATACAACTTCTGGATCGCGGTGTCTATTGCAGCGTTGGGAGCCTCCACGGCATTGGTGACGTTTGTGGATCCCGGCAGAGTCACTGCATCAAACGTTCACCAGGCCACGACAATCTTTCGGCCGAACGGTCTCATCTTCTTCGATAAGCAGTGCTTCACTTGCAACTTGCCCAAACCGGCCAGGTCGAAACACTGCTCCACGTGCCACAAGTGTGTTCTTTTGTACGATCACCACTGCCTCTGGGTGAACAATTGCATTGGCCTCCGGAACTACCGCTGGTTCTGTGCCTACCTCCTTCTGAACGTCAACTTGATGGCTTACGGAGGGGTCCTCTGTTTCTGGATGCTTCAGGCTCAGAAACAACAGTATCTGCAGCTCGGCTGGTGGAAGCTTATCACGAGTACCACCGAGCATAATCGCATAGCAGGCATTTTGGCCATTCTTACAGCCATTTTCGTGCCCATCACTTCAATATTCACCGTGTTGCACGTTCGTTACTTGTACTTGGGCGTCACCACCAGCGAGGCCGACAAGTGGGGCGAAATCGAGCACCTTGTGCGTCTTGGCGTCTTGTTTTACATTGAAGAGCTCGAGCAGTTTGCCGAACAGGCCACCATGATGGACCGGAAGGGCGACTATACCAAAGCGTATCTTGCTCTTGACGACGAGAGCATTTTATTGACCGCTGAAGAGGAGCCCAAATACACCATGCGGAAGATCTCGCTGGTGGAGCACGATTTGGTAAATGTCTATGACCAGGGGTTCTGGAACAACGTCCAGGACCGGCTCTTCAGGATTCCGTGGACGACCTAGGCGGGTCAATTTCCACCACTGCATAATTAATAGCATACGGGGCCCATGCTAACCGGGCTTACCCTCAAGAAGCTGTTTTAGGCTGGGAGGCACTTTGAACTTTTTGGCGGTTCTCCGAATACTCTTTGGATCTCGCTCCTCCTCAATTGCCTCCTCCCGGCTGCTGTACCTCTCCACGAACCTCTCTTTCATGCTCTTTTTCGCATCTTGCTTGGCTATACTGTCTTTGAGTACCTTGACGAAAAGGGCTTCTCGAATCTTGGAAAGGCCCGGATCTTCGTGTGAATCCGAAGCCACTAGCCCTAGGTACCGCCTGAACTCGTCATTCACCAGCTTATCCGCAAACAAAAGGTGTAGCTCGAAATCCTCGTACTTGTCTAGCATCTCACGGCACCAGCTTTTCACATTGGGAATTGAGTAAACCAGCCTTTCGTTGGCTAGTTCTGCAGACTCCACCAAGGTGGGACGATCTTCGGCATCGTCTATGGGCTCCACCTTCTTCGGTTCCTTCTTTTCCCTTCCCTTGTTCTGAACCCTTTCTAATCTCTCATGAAGCTGAACCCTCTCAGTATCATCATACGGATCCTCCTGCTTTTTCGGCCTCTTGGCCTTCTGCTTCTGCCGAATCACAAGCCGATCGTATATATCAGCATCGTCCTGGATATCTCCAATGTCTAGGCGGCGTTTCCCCATCCATCGAAGTGTTGATGTTACTACACATTTTTCGCATTCAATTTGCACCCATTTTACACCGAGCCTGAGAATACACAAGGCTCAGCGGAATAGTACTTACGAAGATGCCCCGACTCCGGCACAGTAGGCCAACGACCATGTCTTGGACTGACCGTCGTCCAAATGCTTCTTGTTGAAGTCAGACGAGCTGAAAAACTTCCAGGCGGTGTCTGGATCAAACAAGGCAGCATTCAACATCAAAATGCCTCTCCAGCCGTCGTCCAAGTCACCCACAAGGCTCTTGAGCTTCTGCTCCCACTCCTGCTTGACAAACTCGGGCTTTCTGATGAACGACGAAACAGGACTGATGGGGATCATGTGGATGCCCTGGATGTACTCCTCGTTGGTGCCAAAGTAGGTGGTGTGGTGGGCCTTGTTCTCGAAAAGGATCCCCGTGACCTTGTTGCCAATAAACTCCAGAGGCTGCACCTTGTTGTCGTCCGCCATCAAAAAGTAGCTGTTCATGGATCTGCTCATGATCGCCAACATGAGGTCTGCTCTTCTCTCGATGTTCTCGTCCTTCACCACTTTGCCCCAGAGCTTGAGCGCATAGGCGTGGTTGTAGTCTTCAGAAGAGCTCTCCTCGTCCTTACCATCGGCAGAAGCATAAAGACCCTTGGCCCAGCTGTGACCGTTGTAAAAGTCAAAAGCACGGAACACAGGGAAGTGCTTATCGTCAGAAGAAGGATTGGCAATGTCTCTCACCAACGACGTCACCCAGGGCTTCACCTCGTCAGTCCACTTGCCTCCACGCTCCTGGTCAACAAAAGCGGTAATGGCAGCAGCCTGAATGTGGTAGCCCCAATGGAAATGGTGATCGTTATAATGGCCATTACCAAAGTCCTCGTTTTCCGTCGCCAGCGACACAATACCCTTGAAAGCGGTATCGTAGAAAAGAGGATACTTCTGCTTGTTGGACTTGAAGCGGTCCAAGGCGTCCTTCATCTTCTGCAACAACTTGTCGGTGAGGCCATCGTCCTTCAACACATTGTGACACACCGAAAGCACAATGGCGTACTTGGCGAGGATCTTGCCGCTGAAATACATGGAGTCGCCGTCCAGCTCGGTACTGACGTCCTTGTCGGCTTCCTCCTGTGCTGCAGCCTTGATAGCCTTGAGAGCATTGTCGGAGAAATTGGCCTTCTTACCTTCGATAGTGGTGGCTGGATCCCACGCCACATCCTTCATGGTCAACTTCTCCTCCATGGTGATTTTGTTCAGAAGAACGCCCACAGCCTCGCCCTTGGTGGTGGTGGGCAACTTGAGCGAGGTGGCCTTGTTCTTTGTGTCTGAGTCAAAGGCTGCAACATGGTGAGGCAAGGCAAAGAAAAGAGCAGAGTTGCTGTTCAGCTTGCCCTCGGTATTGAGCTTCAAAGAGTAAGAACACTTGTCGCCATCCACGGACGCCTCGATACTGGCGTTTTTGGCGTAACAGCCTGCTGCTGAGTCGTAGTGCTTGGAATCAACATCCGAAGCAAAGCAGAGCTGGAACACACCGTCAACGGACTTTTCGGCGATAATGTCGTTCTTGCCCTTCAAAGCCAATTTTACAGAATCCTCGTTGGAAAGAGTAACGTACAAGAACCACTGGGTGCCGTCCTCGAGTTCAATCTTGTACTTGTTGGTACCCAGACGAGGACTCTTGTCACCATCGATGGACTTGAAGCCAATGCTCGAGCTGATCTTTGGAATACAGTTGCTGTAGACGCCAGTAACAAATCCCATGCCCTGGACCAAAGGACAGTCGAGGTGGCAGTCCTTCTCTGACTTGGACGAGAACCGAGCAGTGGCTGCAAATTTGGACAAGTCTCTCAACGAAAACTCGGGCTCCTCCTTAAAGTCCGAAGACGAAAGCACAAGCTTTTGTTCGCCAACAGGATGGGTAAAGTACTCGGCAGGATCGCCTTCGCCAAACACCCTGTCGGAGGTTCTGGCAAGGTACAATCCAAGACCAAAGCGCTTATCCTTCTTGTTGTTCCAGACGCTGTAAGGGTGGGTCCAAACAGCACAGTCCTGATTTTCGACAAGCAAGTTGGAGTAAAACGAGTTTGTTTGGAGTGGCAGGTCGTTGGAAACACCGTTGGGTACACCAGTCTCTCCGTTCTTGCGTTCAAAGAGATCGATGGGCTCGTCGGTGGCGATGGCAGAAGCAAAGATGTTGGACATGGCTAGAAGTGGTAAGTAGAGGTGTGGGTTACGGGGCCGGAAGTGCTATGGGCCAAAAAGAAAAAGTGGTATGTGAGGGAAAAGAATGTGGGAAGTGGTGGGGTTTATATACTTTTCGCAGCCAGTCCGTGGCCGGGTACCCCAGGGTGGGGGACATTAAAGAGATTGGGGTGGGATTGTGGGTTTTGAGGGCATAAAGGGTTTCAGTTTTTGATAGTATTACTACTGGTGGTTCAATAAGTGATATTTGGGGCCTTTGTTGGGAGGTTGGTTGGAGGCTGTATTGGTGCTTGTTTGCAGCCATATCTCAGTAACTATCCTGCTTGATCTTGGGATTCAGGACAGGAGTAGCGAAACTAAGTTGATTTATGTTTTCAATGCAGCTGTTTAAATTGCCGACTGGACTTATGATACAATTTTTGTGCTTCATGTTTTAGTGCCATAGTGATGTCAGTGCCGCTCTGGTCATCCCAGGCCAGAAAGAGTGATCCACAGAAAACCAGACTTGGATCTCTTTAACAGCTTTTCACTCTTCGCCACTTCCTCTCTTCTCATTATCAGCTCCATTGGATCTACTTTGTCACATTCCAGAGCTGTACACTAGTGGTACCCAGGTCTTTTGCAACCAACAGTTGAAACCCCAAAGCCCCTACCACCAAGTTCCTATAATATCCCAAAAGGACCACTTTTGCATCTTACGTGACCCATTGCTACGAATTCAATAATTCATTGCTTCATTGCCGCTCTCCTCAATACTTGGATCCTCCACCTCCACAAACCACCAACCATCCATTCAAAAGCAGCCTCACAATCCCAGGTTCCCCCACGCACGGAGCGTCTTGGCATCTGGGGCTGTCAGGGGCCAAAAGCACAATATCCTGCGCCGCCTGGTTATCAACGGTGCAAGGCTACAAACCGAGACTGCCAAGAACGGCCGAGGTACGAGACGAGAGGGTGCAAATGGAGAGCCGTGGATGGAGAGAATGTAGATTTTGGGCTTTTGCTTGAAGTCTTTGAAGAAGTGGAATTGTGGTTTCAGGGAGATGGTGCTTTTTGGAATCCATGGGGTAGGATATGGATCACTGAGTAGTTTGAGCGGTCCATCATAGAAAGCTCACTGAAACCCAATTCAGCGTTTTTCTTTACCATCGAAACTAAACTCCAAAAAGCCACCGCTGTGGACGGGTCCACTAGGCGGATCTGCTAATCTGATTGGTGCATCCGCTTATCTGGTTCATGCAGCCTTACTACAATAGGGCTGTGAAGTCACCATCCCTATCGGCCCATACGAAGAAACTTGCAAGTTTTTCCCCATAACTACTGAAGAATTTCTTAGTCAGGCCGTAATTGCCAAGCCCACGGAAATACACGGAACCTCATCGCCATGTATTGAAATTTCACCATCGATATATCCACCATCGTCATCTAGTCACTAAACTTCTCGCCCGACTTCTACCAAGTCTCTACCAACCTTTCTACAAATCTCTTCAAAATCTCCTTGATCCCCAATTCCATCAAAATCTATTTTTTGAGGACAGGGCACGGCTGACAGATAATGCACTTCTTCCACAGACTGTGGGTCTGCGCCTCATGGCTGCGATGCCCTTAGTGTCCATTCATGAAAACCCACGGACAAGGGGTGTGAAACAAAAAAGAAACGGCACATTCCTTGAAAACCAGCTTTTGTGGAACACATTCAAACTTTTTCAAACCCCCTGTCTTTTCCCGTGTGACCTTGCATTGTCTACCCTAGGACTGGCTGCGAAAGAGGAAGCGTACCATCAAAGGCAGCCCAAACTCCCCTAAAAGACCGATTTTTAGCATCGCCCTTCTCGACTCTCCACTAACAAAAAAGCCTTTTTCCTCCCTCTTCTTCTTCTCGGAAAACTCAACTTTTCACCCTTCCGTGTGTCTCATCCCTCCGATGGCTGCAACATTCCACCCCATCAACCAAATCCCAAAAGAGCCCAAAAAGCCTGAAATCCCCAAAATCCAAAAACCTCCAAATTTCTCGTATTCCCCTGGCCGTTTTCACCCAACCCTGTTTCAGATCTTCACCGTTCCTCTCCTGGGTGGTCGTGTGCGCCCCCTGGTTATCATATCGATAATACAACCTCACCTTAGCACCACGGCAGACCAGGATCCTGGAACTAGCAGAGCGGTCCAGCTGGCATACTTAAAGTCCACGCAGTCGCCTTTTTGTCGTTTTTCACCGGCACCTACTTTTTCCCCCAAAACCCCCATTGTTCACCAAGAATCCCACCTCATCTGCCACTGTTTCAGAATCAATAACCACGGCCAATGAAACCAGAGGACAGGCTATCGCACGCAGAGCCGCCCGACCATGCCCTGGAGCTCTCCAACACAACAGGCTTCCCCAACGGCCACCTAGACGAAAACAGCGCCGAGTATCTCGATGTCAACTGGGACCTGAACTTGATCCTAGACGCCAACTCCGAGGTGCTTCTGGCGTTCGACTTCCACGGCGGGCTGAACATGGTGCCTCTTCCGGGCCAGATCCCCGTGCCCAACATGGAAATGCACAACCAGTACGTACCGCCTCAGAAATCGGAGGGGACCAAGTCCAACAAGTCTCGAAGCAGACCGTGTGACCACTGCCGCCGCAGGAAAACCAAATGTGTGATTGCTCCAGGCGCCAACAACTGCGTCCAGTGTGAATCCAAGTCCATAACGTGTACGTACAACCTGCCGCCTCGACAGGACGCCGAGGAGCCCAACAAGCGGAAAAAGCTCCAGGAGGAGCAGAAAAGCAGGGTCCCTACGCCCGATCAGTACGCACGGAACAACGGCTACGGCATGAACATCGTGCCTCCGAATGTCTCCATCAGAGACGTGCAGCCCGTGCAAGACTACTCCATGATGAATAATTCCCTTCTCAAGAAGACCTTGTCACTCCAGTTCCCCAGACTGTCTTTCTACATCGGACCCACGTCTTACTTGTTCGACAACAGCCTATTGGACGTGATCTTGTCGCAGAAGAAGCCCGGCGAAGAGGAGGCTGCTAACCCGAGAAAGGCCAATCGTGTTGAGCAGGTCAACTTGAGCGACACGATTTCGCTACGCAGGGTCGGCGACAAAACCCAGTTCATCTTGAAAGACGACCAGTCGTCGAACTCGTACCAAAACATGTCGAACGACGTCGATGCCATCGAAAAGTTCGTGGCTCCGCACGGCCAGATCTTAATCGACCTTTACTTCCGCATAATCCACCCTTCGTACCCCATTTTGCATAAAAAGGTTTTCTTGGAGAAGTACTCGAGAACCCACAGGGAGTTCAGCGCTCCTTTGTTGGCGGCAGTGTACGCCTTGGCCATTCAATGGTGGGACTATGATCCGCAGTTGAATCGCTTCGCCAAACCAAATCTCGATATGATGCTCAAGATTGCTCTCAACAACTTCATGCTCGAGATCCTCAAGCGCCCTAAACTCAGTGCTGTCCAGGCGGGTCTTCTCTTGCTTCAGTGTAAGCACATTTTCAGAGAATCCAATGGCGCCGCCAACAACAGACAAGATTCTGTGGCCAATGCGAGCGCCTCGTTGAACTCATCCTTCTCCGATCTGGACTACAATGACTGGGTGCTTTGTGCTCAGGTCGTGGCCATGTCTGAAGAACTTGGTCTTGCTCTCGATTGCGATAAGTGGAAACTACCGAAATGGGAGAGAGGCTTGAGGAAGCGTCTAGCTTGGGCAGTTTTCATGGAGGACAAGTGGTTGTCCTTGAAAAATTCTCGTCCTTCTCATATCAGCGAAGATGACTGGGTTGTTCTGGAGCTTAAGGAGGAAGACTTCCCTGAAAAGGCTGGCGACGGCGATCTCAAGGAAGGTTCTTCCGATATTAACAACGGAAAGAAGAACTTCATGAACTTGGTCCGCCTCTCGCAGATTTTATCAGGAATCCTCAAGTCCCTTTACTCCATGAAAGCCATGAAGGAAATCGTTGATATCAATGAGGTTCTCCTGATTGCCAAACCTATTCAATTGAAGTTAAGAACGTGGTATCACTCTCTTCCAATCGAGCTTCAAATGACTTCTGTTCAGCCCCGCAAGCTTTGTCCTAATGGATACTTGCAATTATCGTACTTCGCCACTGAGCTCACACTCCACAGGAAGATAATTACCACCATGCATGAGATGACAGTCAACAATAAACCGGTTCCCAAAGAGCTCGTCGATGTTTGCAGAACGGCAGCCAAAACACGACTTTTGGCCTCGATCGAGTTCGTGAGGGACCTCAAACCGGAACACATTCACTCCTTTTGGCACTCATCATCATCTGCTAACTTCACCTTGATTGGCACATTTGCCGCCCTCTTATTCGTTTCAGCGCCTACGAAAGAGGAAGCTGACTTCTACAAGGATCAAATTTTCAATTACAGATGGATCCTCAAGATCTCCTCCAAGGGCTTTGTTCAGGTGGGCGATGCACTCGACCAACTCGACTTAGTTCTCAAGCATATTCCAGGTTTGCTCAGTGATTCCCAGGACCAACCAGGCATGGTCCCTCAAGTACCTACCATCGACTATAATAAGCTCTACGAGCAGCAGATGCGGAACCCCACTAGGGGAGCAGATACCTCTCAGTACAGCGGTTCACCTGCCTCACAAGCAACATCCGTGGACGGTAACGTCAACGGATCTATTCAAAACCATCGCCAGCCCCAACAGGCTGGCCGTTTCAACGTTCCTAATCAACAATTCCAGAAGGGTGGTAGAGAAGCCAACTTTGGTAACGGCATGACCAGACCAAGTTCAGCGCAGCAGCACAGGCAATCTGGTCCCGTTGTGGCTTCACCCTACGATTCGCCACAGGCATTCAACACCCCTGGCTTCAGTGCCAACAATTCCATATCTAGAGGCAGTCACATCAACAATTCCCCACAGCATTCGCAAGGAATGTCCCCGAAAGACGCCATGACGCAGCAGAGATCCATGTTGGGTAACAACAGCCCAGGAACCGGTGGCGGAGAGTCTGATCGCAGACAGAGCTCAACCAGCCATGTTTCTGAGGTTGCAAGTCATGTTGAGGGAGCCTCTTCAAAAGGCGACAGTCCAGCAGTGACCCGTTCACCATTGACCAACCGCAAGTAATCTTGTGGATCCCTTACACAACGGCTTCTCTGCAACCCCTCCTTCACTTCCTGCTCTACTATGTATTACTACACGTTATTTCGTACTATGTGTTCGTTATTATAGAGGTTTTCAAAACCTTACTTTTCTAGTCAAAGGGAGTCAAGTAGCTTTCGGCAATGACTCTGGCACGAGCGTTCAAGAACAACTTCATTTCACTGATCTCCTTGTCAACCTCCTCCATGAACTCAATGATGAAGTCCACCAACTTGTCCTTCAACATCTGCTCAGTGTGGAAGTTTGTGATCAAGAACGAGATGTCGTAACCCTTGATAGGCACTCGCCTCAAGATGAAGAAGTTCTCGGCTCTCTGTGTCAAGAAACGGGTGAACTGGTGCACCAAGATCTGTTCAATCTCATCTGCCTGCTTGATTTTGATGGAGACTCTCACGGAGTTGATGGAAGGCTCAATCAAGATCTTCTCATTCTCGTTTCTGCAAATCGTGACGGGATTAAGAATGAGCTCTGGGTTGTGGCTGTTGTCGACCTCAATTTCCGGACGGTTGTGTCTCTCAACGAGCTGAGAAGAAAAATCCTCCAAACAGATCGCTGCAGTCAACGACGTTCTCACCGCAGTCAAGTAAGGTTTCAACGATTGAGACTGGCGTTAGTAACATATCGAGTTAATGTGTTTCAATTGACATACCATTTTGGGTGGTGCTTGAGAACAGCGATACAACGGAGAACTTGTCTTGATAGTGAGCGGTTATGTGCACTACTATCGTGGGAAGAAGACAAGACCGGGTTAATAATTGATGAAGACAGGTTTTTTTTCCTCCAGTCGCTGTTTTTTCGCATCACTTTCTGGTTCTGGTGCAGGTCTCTTTCTGTCCAGTTTTTGGTTGAGTTTGGCCACGAGGTCAGTGATGCTGTCTTTCACCAACTTACCGAGGAGTGCCGCTTTCTTGGCTGGGTGGTTCTTGTAGACCTTTGATGCGGTTGACTCTGCTTTTTGAAAAACGGGGGCTTTATGGAGTTCGTCTGACCATTGCTGCAAGTCATCAAGATGCTTTTTTAGACTGTATTTGTCGCCCTTTTTGTTAATGATTGTCTTGTCCTCGTCCACTTCCTCCTCTGTAACCACTAGTATGCTGATATCAGCGAGATTTTGTTGTAGCCAATTAGCCAAGTCGTGGGCTCTGCTTGCTATCAGTTTTTCGAATTCCGTTCTCGCTTTCTGAGCTAGGATGGTTTGAGCGTGCACAAGCTGGCTATAGATTACCAGCACCTCACCGTCTTCCAGCTCATCAGTCAAATCAAAGGCAGAAAGACGGTCATCTTTGATGTTTGTGAGTGTATCGACAAATTTGTCCTTTGAACTGAGAACCTCGTCATAGTCGATCTTGGATTCACGCAAAACCGCTTCCACGAGATCCTTCTTCACCTTCAAATCCTGACTCTTTTCGTCCACAATGTCCCAGAAGAGCTCAAGCGGTGTGGATCCATTACGGCCACAGAGTTCTATGAAAGAGTCTTCATCCTCAAACTGCGGTAGCACATCTCTGAACAAGGAGCCTGCGTTGATTTTGACCTGTTTGACCAAAAGCTTTTTGAACGCCTCACGAGCCTTGCGGTCGGCCCTGTAGTTCACTTTTTCTGCCTTGGTGATTTGCGTCTTGATGTCGTTTTCGATTTTGGGATACACCTTGGACATGTATAGTTCGAGGATGTCAAGTTGATCTAGGACAGCAAAGTGCTTATTGGCTTTGAAACGAGAGTCGTTTTGTAGCATAGAGTTAAGCTTTTCCCATGTGAGTGTATTCGTGTCGAGACTCTGGACCACCTGGTTAAGGTACGTTTCTAGTTCAGCCAATGCTTCGCTTTTTCTCTTTTCAAGCTTCAGCTCCTCCACCTCTGCGAGCTCTTTCACAAAATCGTTGAAAATAGACCTTAGCTGGCCGTCGCCAAGAACAGAGTGTTTAAAAATCGGATTCTCCTCCTTGATCAATGTGTCCTTCAATGTGACCCACCTAGAGTGTTTATGAAGCTTGCCCTGGTCACGGTACTCCACCAAAACCAGCGTGAAGTTGTTTTTGGCATTTTCTATAGCCTGCGTTTTGTTTTGAGCCTCGAGCTGTAGCTTGTTCACGAGAAACTCGTCGTACAATTGCTTCCTCTTCAGAGGGTCTCGAACAGCCCAGTAGGCTGGATTCTTCACAAACGTCAGAATCACCTTCTCGAACGACCACGTGGAATCAACATTGTTCTCTTTCAACATGCCAAAGTAAAGTTCCTGAGCCTCCTCTTCCAGCACATCCTTGTACTTCTCCAAATCGCCAGAGTCCACCTTCTGTGTTTGCAATTCCTTATCTAACTCCGAGAGCTCTTCTTCCTGAGCAGGCTTCTCCTCTTCTTCTTCCATCTTGACGTCCTCCTGCTCGCCAAACCCACTGGGCCGTTCCCAGGTCGTCTCCCCAGTTTCCTCATTATGGTAGTAGTCTCTTCCATCCTCTGTTTTATAGGCTTTCCACGAACCCAGGCTCAGAGGCTCAGCAGGCTTTTCCCACGAGGTCTCATGAGTGGTAACATTGTAGTAGTACGTTCGGCCTTGGTCGTCCTGGGCCTCTTGCCATGTACTCATCTGTGGATCTGATTGTAGTAGAGATGAATGAGCGCGCGATGTTGATAAGGCGATGGGTGGGTTTGATCGATGGAGATGAAGGGCTGTGATTTTTGAGTTCGTTTTTGTGAATCTGTGGATTTAGAGCATGGTGGATTCTGTTTTGTCGTTTTTGTGGATTTTCCTTGGATGTGTGAGCCATGGCGAATGGCTGCAAAATGCATTCGTACCATGGAGGGCACTTTCAAGGTACCGCATGGAGACCACAAACAAGGAAGCAACGAGTCAACTGGCATTTTTCTAAATTCTTGAAACTTTGCTTCGTTATGACTCTCTGAGTATGAAAATCTTTGTTTCATCGACAGAGCTCCTCTTCCAACGGGTGATATAGAATCTGCTTAGGTTCAAGCAGCACTTCAACGGATCTGATAATCTAAAGCTCAATTAGATCTTCAGGGAGGTCGACAAATGCTGCCATTCATTTCAAACTTCTTAGCAAATCGACTTGATCAACGGGCATATCACTCATACTTCCCCGTCTGCTCAAAGAATCGAGTCTCACAAAGCAGTTTTTCATTTTTCTCCATCACTAGACACATAGAGATCTCAAAACAAGAGTAGGAGGATCGTAGTGCTCTTGAATTGGTACCAAATTTTCCATGCGCGACTAAAAATCGCATTTTTTAGGCCCACAGAGGTCCTGGGAAGCTCAAAATTGGCAGATCGACATTTTTCAGTCTAAATTATTGATTGGTAGACTTTGATTTCCAAATTCAAAACAATCAATATTTTAACGAACTTATACACTTTAGTGGCTCCTCCAAGTAAGGACGGCAACTTGTCCGAGCGGTTAAGGAGAAAGACTTGAAATCTTTTGGGCTTTGCCCGCGCAGGTTCGAATCCTGCAGTTGTCGTTATTTTTTCGATTTGGCCTCTTTTTTGCACCCATTTCCGTTTGCACCCATTTCTGCCTTTCTTCATCATGAACACCAAAATCACGTACACCGCTGTCGAACTAAAACTACTTCGTCATGAGTACAAGGTTCCCGTCGATGAAAGCCCTTTCTTGACTTATTTCCATCCGTCTTCTCATTGTAACCCACACTACATGTACCCAGACTTGTTTCCACCAGGATCTAGAATAATCAAATTGAAGCCTGGCCAGTGTCTTCCGAAAGGTTCGGTACCGCTTCCGTTTCCAATCGAAGAGAGAAATCGATACAGGGATCATGGAAGAAAATCACCTTCACCGCTTCCTGGAGACTCTAACTACCAGTACAAGTATACGGAGTTTTTTGAGCCATACATGAGGAAACCGCAAGGTGCTTCGTCAAAGGAGCAGTCGTCTGCTGATATGGTTTCGGAGTCTTCCAGTGATAGCATCCAATTTCAGCTTCCTCCTCAGTGAATGAGAGTATATTGAGGGTGGGATGAACATAGGGTATACTGAATAAATGGATTTTTGGATTGGACCGGAAGGCAATTGAAACTATGTTAGAGAGATAATCGGCCAATTTCTCACATGAAAGAGATGGTGATCAATTTCTTACATTAAAGAGATACTGATCAACTTGTCCTGGGTGTCTTTCCCTTCAAGCCATGAGCAGTCACCAGTATAGTGAGTGCCATTGAGGAAAACCTTATCTTCAGTTATCTCAAATATGTATGTAAATCGACAAGATTCGTTAACTTGTCACTAATCTAATAATCGATAAAAAAGCATGGGCATAAATGTGTCCACATTCAGTAGGTATTAGACCCACCACTTGGTCGCATTTTGCACCCATTAGACCAACCACACCCTACCATCAACCCCCCACAAATACATTCAAAATCCTTCCATTGCTATCAATGCATGCTCTTCACAGCCTCTAAACCCCAAAATCCCTTCAAATCCCAAAAACCCACATCATGCCACTTTGGTCAATCTCTGACCCAGTTACCCCATACTCATCTCCTGCACTCACCAAAACCACCTCCATGGCTTCTGAACTTCCCCCACAGTGGGAGTACCTCCATCTCTCAGTGTATGTGAAAATAGCCTCAAACTAATCGTTGAACTTTATGCTAACTCCAGAACATGCGATCCGGCGCTTGAACAAACCAGACCCCAGCTCTACATCGAGCTCAATATCGACCTCCTCACATGGCGAACCCTCATAAACAAAGCTCTAGCGGAGCTTTACGGCATTGTTGGCGAAGCTAGACACTACGACATTCTAGCCAAACAGCAGAAACCGCCGGCGCTCGACGCTGTGATCAGAATCGTGCCTGAAGACAAGGATGTGTTTGTCACCAGTTTGGCGAGTTTCAACTTTGCCCTCAGCGACCACCTTGGGCTGGAATACGATGTGAATGCTTCTATTAAGGTCAAGAACTCGAGCCCGTACCTTGGCCAGCTTGTGACGTCTGATTTAGCTGACTTGTGATGTGATTAGGGCTATGTGAAGCTACACGTTGTCCAGTTGCAGAGGGGGATGTCGACTAGTGATGACAGACATATTAAAATAGGTGCCTACGAATTAGGCCGCGTCGTTGGAAAAGAGAAGGCTGGAGATGCTTTGTCATGCTACTCACTAGCCAGTTGAACTGAGGAGGCCTTGCTTCTCCATGTGGCCCGTATCGTAGTGGACCAGCCACTTTCGGGTCTTTCATGCTGCAAAAGCAAATTCCAGTTGATGAAGTAGCTTTCTAGCATTTCTGGCGTATACCGATAATTGGTCCGACTTCACCCCAAGACAGATAAGTTGACATATCTGCAACTACATTAGCGAGCAACTACAAATAACATATTTGGGGAATATGAGCAAAATTCACAGCTCTCTAAAGCGAAAGATCAAACAACACCCGGCTATCAAGGTAGGCGCATACGCTTTGCACGGCTGAGAGTGCTCAAGAACCCGAAATATCCCAGATCTCTCCCTCCCCCATTTACCAGGTCCAAAAAAACTTCAATACTAAAAATACAGTCATTTCAATTCCACGTCTCAATGGCTCTTGTAGAGGACGTTGCCACCTGATCTCGTTATCTGTATTCCTGAGTCTCACCCCACGGAACCAATAACCTTACAATACAAATATCCAATAAACTTTGCAATTTAACTTTAAATCCTACAAATACAACTAACCAAAACCACCAATCTCATTCCCTCCCCAAAAATACCACAAAATCACCAATGGCTACTATTCCTCTCCTATCTGCCCACTGCGCCGGTCCTGTATACCCCAACTACTACTATCACCAACTCAGATACTACTCTACTGTTCAGTGCCATGCAGTTCTTTTTGTTGCTCTGGTTAGCAGCAGCAAGCCTAGTGGCTTCGTATGAGCCGAAGGTCGCCAAAAACACCTTCAAGGGCTACACAAGGGACATGCTTTATTTTGACGATTCGTCCCATATAGTGGCAGCCAGAGGCGACGGTATCTGGGGTTCGTATGACGACGGTGTCAAATGGAAACAGCTCACGGATTTGGAAAGCAAGAAATTCCACGCTGACCCAAATTTCAAAGATAGGGCCCTTGCCTTTTCGGCAACCACGAAACAGTACTACACCAATGATAAAGGAAAGACGTGGAAACCGTTTGAGTTCAAGACAGAAGGACACGCAATTGAATTGTTGCAGGAACCAATTGTGCATTTCAACATCGATGACAAAAACTTGGTGTTGTTTGAGGTGGTCGACTGCCCAAGGCAGCAGCATCACCACCAGTGCAAGAGGATCTTCTTCTACTCCGCCGACGGACTCAAGCTGATTAAGAAACTTCCCATAGAATCAGATCTGTGTACTTTCGCTAAACAGAACAAGGACTTCGACTTCAAAGGTGACCTGAAAACCATCATATGTGCCACCAACAGTCACAACTCTTTCGGCCATGTGATGAAATCCAGCATCGTCAAGAGTAAGGACTTTTTCAAGTCGTCCGAGCAAATTATGGATGATTCAGGATTTCAAAAAGGTCGTATTCTTGATGTCCGTATCGACTCGTCCTTCATGGTCGTTACAGTGCTGCAAGACATGTATAGGCCCTCGGCCCAGGTTACGCTCTACGTGTCTAAGGATGGTGAAACTTTCGATAAGTCCAATTTCAATTTTGAAACCAATAGAGGTGCTATCAAGTTTTTGCCTTCGTCAAAGCTGGCCCTTTTTGTGCTGGTGATGCTGATGAACGATATACCAATCCCACACAATACCGTCTTCAGATCAGATTCCCAAGGTATCAACTTCGAGCAGATCGCGGATAAAGTCAGTTTCACAAGTCCGGTGAAGATAGAGAACTTTGACGGTATGTACTTCGCAGACGAACTCAGAAGGGTCGACTCACCAGATAAGGGCATCTTCCCTGGTCCTCCAGGCATGCCCCCTTACACTCTTTCGAGTAAACTTACTCTCAATGATGGTAAGGATTGGGAGCCCTTGAGAGTTGTTGATGATGAGAGCTGTAAGATCGAGAAGGGATGTTCCTTAAACTTGGTCGATTACACAACATTTGATGGTGAGGGTTTCAGTACTACTGGGCCAACGGCTAACATAGTTCTTGGAATTGGTAACGCAGGTGAGATTTCCCCTGATTTCCTGGAAGCAAAGACGTATATCTCAAGGGATGGAGGTGTCACCTGGAAGAAAGCTCTTGACGTTGGCTGTTTGTTCTCTTTCGGCGATCAGGGCAATGTCATTTTAGCTGTACCTCTTTTGAACAAGAAGGACCCTACTCAGCCCGGTACAAAGAGGTACTATTACTCAACTGATCAAGGTCTCACATGGGAAGAGAAGAGTTTTGACACAACCATCTGGCCGCAATTCCTCATCACGACCGTCGATGGTCTGAGCAGAAAATTCCTTGTTAATGGACCAAACAACGGAAATGAGGATGAAGAAGTTTTCTATCTGCTTGATCTTTCTGATGCTTATGGCGGTACAAAATGCAAAGAGAAGGACCTTGAGCAAGTGTACGCTCGTGTCGTCGATGATAGTCCTTTATGTGTTTACGGTCACAAAGAGAGCATCATGAGAAGAAAGCCTGAAGCCAAATGTTACGTCAGCAAGTTATTCGAAGATATAAAGGTTAAGGAAGAGCCATGCGAGTGCACCGATGCTGACTTTGAATGCTCGAAGTATTTCCAGCTCTCATCTAAAGGTGCATGCGTTCCAAATGATGTGAAAATCAAGGAAGCATGTTCTGGTAAGAAGTCGAAGACTGTGAAGCTTCCCGATAAGCAACTCATGGCCGGAAATCTTTGTAAACAACCTGGCAACCAGAAGTTTATTTCAGAAGAAGAATTTCAATGCAAGGACTACGTGGATGTGGACAAGCCACTGGAAAAGAAGTTGGAAAGTATACCAAATGACTTTGAAGGCCGTCTCGAACAATACTCCTACGTCAAGACCAAAGACGAAACTCGTGAAAATCTTCTTGTCAGAACGTCGAATGATGTTATGTACGCCTCCAATAACGGTGGTAAAACATACACTAAAGTTCCCGTCTATGAAAAAATCATTTCATTCACAACTGGAAGCGTTCCGGGCACTGCAGTCTTGGTGACCAACAACGATATTTTCTATTTATCCCTTGATGGTGGAAATTCCTTCCGAAAGCTTGAGGCCCCAAGCAGACTCGTCCCCACTCGTGGGATCCGTCCATCTTTCCATCCTGAAGACTCCTCGCAGTTCATATGGTATGGCACCGATGGGTGTGATCCACAAGGCAACCCCAGCTGTGAAATAACGGCCTATTATACCAAGGATACGGGTGACACTTTCCAAAAACTCAAGAGTGGAGTGAAGTTCTGCGATTTTGTCTCATTGAATAATGCTACGGATAAAAATTTGATCTACTGCCTCACGTCAGGAGAGAAATCCCAACTCCTTAGCTCAACCTCATTTTTCCAGGACTCAAAAGTTTTGTTCGATAATGTTGCTTCTTATGCCGTCAAGATGAACTACTTGATCGTTGCTACAATCCTCGACGATATGAAGGAAATGCGTGCCAAAGTCACTATGGACGGCTCTACTTTCGCTGACTCCTTGTTCCCCAAAGATTTCAAGGTTGAAGCCCAAACTGCCTACAATATCCTAGATTCTGCTGACGAGTCAATCTTTATGCACGTTACCACAGATGATAGGAAAGACAGGGAAGTGGGTTCTATCCTCAAATCCAATTCTAATGGAACATCGTACATTCTTTCCTTAGAAAACGTTAACAGAGGCAAATTTGGCTTTGTTGACTATGATAGACTTCAAGCCTTAGAGGGTATTATCATTGCCAACACTGTCAGCAACCCAGGGAAAGATGAGAAGAAGAAACTAAAGACTAACATCTCCTTTAACGACGGTAGTCAGTGGTACTACTTGGCCCCACCTAATGTCGATAGTGCGGGACAGAAGTACAAATGTTCGGGGCTGAAAATTGATAAATGTTCGTTACACTTGCAGAGCTTTACTGAAAGACCCGATTTTACTGACACCTATGGCTCCTCTTCAGCTGTGGGAGTTCTCTTTGGCGTCGGTAATGTGGGAGAGTATTTGGGAGAAAATGATCTCGCTACTTTCATGTCGTATGATGCGGGCCTTACTTGGAAGGAAGTTGTGAAGGGCCAGCATATGTGGGAATTTGGAGACCAGGGTACGGTTTTGCTTCTTGTTGATCAGTTGAAGGAAACAAACACGCTTACCTATTCCACTGATAGCGGAGAAACGTGGCAAGAATTCAAGTTCACCGATAAGAAAGTCGTTGTGCTCGACTTGGCGACTGTTCAAAGTGACACATCGCTTAAATTTGTCATCTTTGCAACTGAAAAGAGTGATCTCCATACGACCTACTCTTTCTCGATCGACTTCACCAAGTATTTCAACAGACAATGTGAACTCGATTTGGATAATCCAGATAAAGGTGATTTCGAGTTTTGGGGTCCAAAACGTCCATCATCAAAGGACAACTGCTTCTTCGGACGTGAAGTGAAGTACTTGCGTCGTAAAAAGACCACTACCGATTGCTTCATTGGTGCGGCACCTTTGAAGGATGGTGTGAAACTGCTCAGAAATTGTAAGTGCACAAGGGCCGATTACGAGTGTGATTTCAATTATTACAGAGACAGTGACGGTACATGCAAGTTGGTTGACGGCTTGTCTCCTGCTGACAGGATGAAAGAGATGTGTGAGAAAGAAGGCGGTTTCCAGTACTTTGAGCCCACAGGATACAGAAAGATTCCGCTTTCTCTGTGCGTTGGCGGAAAAGGATTTGATTCGCTTGACACTCGCCCATGTCCTGGTCACGAGGATGAATACAACGAGTATTATGGCATCGGTCTCGGTGGTGGAAGAATTTTTGGAATTATCTTCGCTCCCATCTTCATCTTTATCGCTGCGTTCCTCTTTGCCTCATGGTTTGTTTATGAAAAAGGAATTCGCCGTAACGGTGGTTTCGAGAGGCTCGGACAAATCAGACTAGATGACGACGATGATTTCCAACCCATCGAAGACAACGCTGTTGATGTCGTTGTCAACAAAATTGTCAAAGGAGGAATAGTAGCTGTCGCCGGTACGGTGGCTGCACTCAAAACCATCAGAAAGATCGATAAAGCGATGTTCGAGAGAATCTCGCTGGCACTCTTTGGTCGCCGCCCAGGTCGCCGAAGCTATGTTCGTGTTCCTGATGATGAGGATGAATTGTTCGGTAACTTTGATAACAGCTACGAAGATGAGTTGGAAAATGCAGATGATGTGAACTTTGACGTCCAGGATGACCCTGAGGAGTTCACTGATTACGCTGATGAGCCTCCAGCTGATGAAGATGTCGAAGCGGATGAAAGGCTTTTTGACATCGACGACCAATCTGACGAAGACCGGTCCTCGCGCAGAGCGGAAGATTAAATTATTTCTATATAGCGCAACGAAAGGGATAGAATGAAGACGCTTGAATAGTCCAATCTAAAAGAAGAGAAATCGAAATAAATGACACCCATATTAAAAATATAAAAAAAAAAATATGACACGGACAGGAATCGAACCTGCAACCCTTTGATTTGGAATCAAAAGCTCTGCCATTGAGCCACCGCATCGTATAGTATACAATTGGACTGCACCTAATATATGAACTTGAAAATCAATGTTTTCTTCGCGATATTATAGGCACTACACACTTAACATACTCAGATCTCAGTTATATGAAATCCTCTTTTTCCTAGCAATCTACGGGAGGTTTTTGGGGCTCTAATTATTAAAATTTGCTCTTCTTTTATATTTGTTAATTTTCAGTTTCTCAACTCCCAAGTTAAGGCAAGAAAAATGCATTCTGGTCTATCAGTGAACTAGCCAGACTCTACACCACATTACGTCTCATTAATGCATAGTATTTGCGACTCTCTATTAATTGTTTCTTTGTAAATCAATCTCATGGAATAACTCCTCGGGATTCACAACGTTCATCATTTCATCTTCATGGATTCTTTGACTCATTCTCTCTTCCTTGTCCGACTTCTTGAAAAGATACATCATTGGGATGAGGTAGAGTAAACCTATAAGGGCGGTAGACCCAATAGCACACGCCAATGACACACCAACCACTTGACCCTTCGAAAGGTTTTTGGAACTCGTCTTCAAGTCTTTAGACGAACGGAATGAATAGGTATCCTTGACAAGCAACAGCTGAATTACACCTGCCTCATTGCCGTTCTTCAGAGTGTAGACGTAAGGTGTCCACAGACTGCCATCAAAGAATGCAGCGTTGACAAGACCGTAGTCAGTAAGGTTGAACAAGCCTGATACTAGAAGTATCTTGTCATTGTCAAAGTAAGCTTGCAGTCTGGAACTGTTCTTGGACAGAAGCAGAAGCAACTTCATATCGGTAAAGCTAGTTTGATCATTGATGTCGATACCGTTTGTGATGTCTGACCACAGAGACCCGTTGAATGCTTTCAAGAAGTTGTCACCGTAAGCAGTCATTCTACTCTCCAACTTCTTGGTGCTTCGCTCATTGATGATGAACTTGCGAACATAGTCATTAGATTCACCAATGTCTGCGAGATTTGAAGGCGCCGAAGTAAATTGACCAGATGAGAAATCGAAAATTGCAAACGTGACACTTGTTTCGTTCACCGTGAGGTTTCCACTGAGAAGAACCGTATCAGTGTCGAAGAATTTCGCATCAGTAACAGTACCAGCAATTGCGTCACTCGATGGGCTCTCCCAACGTGTGTTTGCGACATCATAAAGGCAAACCGCTTCGCATCCCAATGAGCCAGCATTGTCGAAGCGGCCACCGACGAGCAACTTTTCGTCATCGTCGTAGAAGGCCATTGCATTGACCTGGATTTCGCCCAGGTTACTTGAAAGATCGGCCGGTTGAACTGATGAGAACGACTGGTTTGTCAAGTGAAGCAACACAAGACCTGTTGCGTTGGTGCCCTGGGCTTCAACGCTTCCATTCGTTCCAATAAACAAGTAATCGACATCCGAATCCACATAAAGATAGTCAATCAGAGTTTGCTCGCCCCAGTTTGTGTCATCAAGTGTAAAAGTCTGGTTATCTTTCACGAATGCAATATTTCTTCTTGTGTTGTTGACATCAAATTTACCACCCAATACACTGAAAGTGGAGTTGGCGTAAAATGATCTGTAGATCTCTCCACTAGTGATATTGAGTCCATAGCTGTTCACATGAGAATTGTTCGTAACAAATGCCTCATTTGCACCGTAGTAGTCCATCAAGTTGAAGAAAGTTCCACCGAAGACCTGCTGCTCCTTCTGGGAAAGACTTGCGGCCGTCGTGACATTCAAGTCATTTCTATCCAAGAAACGGCTGTCGGACGTGTCCCATACTCGATAATTGTCTTCATTTGCCGAGAACACGAAGAGTTCTGATCCATCGAAGGTAAAGTTGACAAATTGATCAAACTCTGCGTCGATATATGAGTTACCGAAAGAGAGCCAATCGCTTCCAGAGCGAATGGCAAAATTATTGAACGACAGTGTGGAGCTGTTTCCATCCAGAAGATTCTTGAATTCATCATTGTCGGCTTCAGCTGAAAAAGCGCCAAGTGCAAGGAATCCACTTTCCACGTTCTCAAGTTTTGAAATGGAAGAATTGAATGTTGCACCTAAAATGTTCTCGTCGTCCCTTTTCACGAATCTCTTGTCTTTCAAAGTTGCTTCTGTCAGGTTCAGAGTCAGGTTGTACTCGTCAATCTCAAAAGTCAAGAGGTTGCTGTTGGGAAGTGTAATATTGTCTGAGCTGAATTCACCAAGGAGAAGCAACGAAGAACTCTGAAGGAGTATTTGGTCCACAGTCGAGTTTTTCTCGAGCTTTCCGCTGATTTCATTAATCGATGAGTTGCCCACGAAACGGTTACTCCTCTTGATAATTGTCTCATTGTTCAGCTTAGAGTAGACAAGGTCTTCTGAAAACAGCGAGAAATTTGCCAACGAGTATTCGAACAAACCATTGAGGTATATGTGCTGGAGGTCATGCTTTCTTCGTTCCTCAAGAGAGGTACGATTTGTGTGATTCTTTTGACTGTAACTATCGAGGGAAACGATATTTGCCACAGCGCGGTCAACAACCATCCAAGGGTCTGTGACAGATGAATCGATAGCACTATGAAATTCGATGCTGATTCTGTTTCTGCCATTGTCATTAGAAGACCCATTCATGTGACCAAAGAAAAGGTAGTCAAATTTGTCATTGTAATTGTTTTGGTAGATCAACTTGCTCTCCAAAGCAGTCAGCTCGGTGTCCAAGACAGTCACATTGACAATTGCTCTCTTATCGCATGAGTTGTCAGCCTGGCATCCGGGGGTATATAAAAGGAGCGAATATTCACCATCATACGAGATGTTTGGATAAAGGGTGATGCCGGCATTATCATTTCCAACTGATACAAGATAGTCTGTGTCGGTGACGGAGTCCACTAGGGAGCGTACGGACTGCCAGTCACCGCTCTGGATCTCAGCTGAGTTACGAGACACCAGCTCTTCTGAACCACAGTTAGAGTCATTGAGTGTGTCGTTTCCGTAAACACTGATAGCATTGGTGTAGAGCTCAAACCCAGCAAGCTCACCATAGTTGCCAAACCAGTCAATGACGGTTAAGCCAACTCTGTCGATGCTAATGTCATTCACGAGGGCAAATTCCATATAGTTACTTCCGTACCCAAGATTTTTAGCCTTTGTGGAGCTGTCGTAATACATGGAGAACGAGCCGTCTTCGTTCACGAAGATGTCGTCATCATCATCCATCATGTCCTCACCATTGTCCTTGTTGTCATCGACAAGCAGTTTAAGATCGCTGGATTTAGGCAAGGGACAAGAAGCGTCACAATACGCTAGCTCGTTGGTCTCCGGGTTGACGTAGGTGAGGTTCATGATACCATTGTTTGGGTACGTGTAGATACGGAACGTCTTTATACCGTTCTCACCATCATCAGGTAAATAGAGCCTCACCTTGGTGGGGCTGAGGCCTGCCATGGCGGACGGTAGTTGAACCGACCATTGACCGCCGCTGTTGGGCTGCACTCTCCAAATGCTGTCTGAGTCCGGGCATATTATGCCTTTGGGATCACTGTCGGAGTTGATGGAGGTGAATTCACCATGCTGTAGAGAGATCTTTTGCTCTGCTGATATTAGCGACACATTTGTCGAATTGGAGTGGTTGTAATGCGAGCCATTTGTCGACGTATTAAGTGTTAATAGTTCGGGGAGGCCCAAGGTGTCGAAGGAGCCGCCGAATATGATGGAGCCGTCATCTTTTGACTCGCCATCGATTTTGCTGATGGAGTTGACCACCGAGTCGTTGCCGAATCCCTTGAAGGGAAGCAGCTTGAGTTTTTTAGAGGCTATGTCGTACACGGCGGCGCCTCTGGTGTTGTTGAACTCAAAGTCTCCGCCCATGTAGATTAGGTCCTTGTCGACATATGTGACCTTGACGGAGCCGCTGTCGAGAGTGTCTCGTTTCTGGTTGCTGGACCCAGAAAATATGCTGGAAGCCTCGCCGCTGGTGAGGTTGTATATGATGGGAGGGGTGTATGACTCGTTATTAAAGGACGTGAAGGTGCCTGTGAGGAGCACGCTGTCGGACCCCACCGGCAGAATTTCCGACACCAGGCCTCCGTCGATGGTGCCGATTTTCATATTTGCGTTGTCGGTGATATTTCGAAGGTATATGGACGACAGCCCCGTGGAATGAAGGAGATTGGAGGAGGCATTTTGGTATGAGTAGAAGGACAAGGCGTCAAAGGAGCCCAAGAAGCCGATGGCGCCGCCCAGGTCCAGAAACTGGATATTTGGCAAGGAGATCAGCTCGAACGCTGCTGCTAAGGAGACAAGCACCGGTAGGATTTTCATAACGAGAGAATGGGGGGGGTCTTCCTTGTGAGCGAAAAGATGTTGATGCTAAAAAAACCACTGATGTCGCGGTGAGAAAAAATATGTAGGTTACGACGCTTCGCAGCCGGTATCAGTGAGGAATGCCTCAATTTTTTGTCAGGTGGTTTTTTGAGGTGTCTAATGGGAGGATTGAATGGAAAAAAAAATTCTGCTATGAACGGCTGGTGGGAATTGACGAGGATCAGGTCCGCCATTTTGGGCGAAAATGTAAACATGCCGCAGGCCGAGGCAGCGATACACGAGGTGCTGTGGGTGTATGCAGGAGCGACCACCCACTAGTAGCGTTTAGTCGTTGAAACCAGGCTCCCTGGGGTTTCTATAAAAACAAAATAACTTTTTATACTAATGGTCATTGGCCAATTGGAGTTGGCGAACCTTCAGAGATCGAGGTTCTGTCTGGGCGCTCCTGCAAGTGCCGTTTCATGTATGTGTAAGGCCGCGCCGTGTACCAAGCATTGTGCCATTGTGCACCCAAGGTTTAGCCTCTCCTGAGGTCAACAGCGTGGTGGTTGGAGATTTTTTAAAAAGGGCTATAAATCTTTATTTTTTTATGACTACTACTTTTAGTTAATTAAGAATAATTACAATTTCGCCCTTTAGACCGTGCATTTAGCACCTTTGGGGTCTTGCTTGCTAACTGTATGGTCTATTTCAATGCGAGCGGCTGTGGCTGCGAAATGTTAGACCCAGTCTGGGCGATTCTCAGGTGAAGCATTCAAGGCGGGTCGACATTTTCGATTTTTCACTTTTTTCTCTTTAAATTCTCTTCAAATTCTCCTTCCCTCTGTCTCGCTGGAAAACGACACCGCCTTGGCTGGTTTCGGCACGGAATGGGCCACCTATCTGGCTTAGCGCCCATACACGAAGCTAGACTGCGGCACGTACTTGGGTAACTTCAAGGCGGGACCCTTGGGGCGAAGTTGGTGAAGTAAAGAATGTGAATCTACGGTTTGGTGGAATTTGGTAGGTGGCATTGCAGTGTGAGGTGGGTCAATCACGGCTGGTGAAGATAATTGGAAGAAAATTGAAGGTGATTATTGAGTTTATTTCGATATTGTTGAGTTCGACGCTCGGGACTCTGGAGGTTCGAGAACAGTCGCCCGGTTTAAGGAGATGAGTTCTGGAATCAAGGCACCAACGTATGAATCACGCATCCAATTGTCTATCTATCTAACTTTTGTCAATTAAGGGGCTAATTTAAGCTTGCTATCTAGCTCTTAGCAGAAGATTAGGTGGAAAGCAGTTTGAAGAATTTTCAAATTACACCAAAAGGTTGTGGTTTTACATTACAGTAGCGTATACACCTCGAAGTGACAAAAAGTAAGGACCTTCCCAAAAATCCAAAACCCCGTCGATTCACTCAAAAACCCATCATTCAACGAATTCAGTAGCCAACTGACCCATGAAATACGTACCTTTCCCTATTGAGCCCATTGTGCTGATTTTCGTCACTTCCTCGTTTATGCGGTTTTCGCAGCCATTGACCACCTAACAAAGACGCCGACTCACCGCTGAACCCATTTTGACTTTTACGAAAATGAACAATAAGAGTTGTCTTATACCTCATTGGAGATCAGGGGTGTGCCCTTTTTTTGTTCTTCACACGTTTGTGGACTTAGCTGTGCACCACTCTAGCGTCCTCAAACCCAGTCAACCTACCTATCCCTCCACAACTCTCACAAACCCCAATTATCTAGCAGCTTTCGTTAAATACCACGGCATAATAAACCAAATCAAGCAACAAAATCACCAACCTCTTATTTCCTGCCTTTTTTGGTGACGCCGGCTTCGTGGTGTACGGAGGCCAAACCGTATATCAAGCGCTCTCTTGGATTCCTCCCAAAGCAATGCTATTTCCTGCTGGAACTGACCCCACTACGGTCAGACAGCTCTTACTTCAGCATACTTTCCTGCCGCTAGTCTCGGTACAATCCACCCACAACGCCGATGTGCTTTTCCAGCGACAATGCCTCAATGACCTGTTATCGGTTCTCCAGGTATTCAAGCCATATGGCAATAACGCCAGGTACTCAGTGCCCAACCAGCGGTTCAAGATCACCAACTCCTCATTGATAACAAGAACATACAGCCTGTTTCCTGTGCGGTTTGAGCCTTCGCTTCCAGAACTCATGATGGTGCATGACGCTAGCTCGTCTCCAGAGAAGCTCAAGAGTCTATTCAGCATATCCAGCTTGGAGCTACTACTCAAGAACCTGAACCAGCCGACTTCCATATCTGCAAGGCCGCATGACAAGCTCTACCTTGAGCTTTTCCGCATGGTGATCTCTTCCAATCAGATCGTCCTGTTTGACACATTGAACCACCCGGTGTCTCAAATCTTCGTTATTGATTACCACACCGATACCTTGGACACGATCAGAAAGTTGATTGTGGACTTTCGCAATTACAATTTCCCAAAGTACTTCCAGATCTCTGACCTTTTGATTCACATCTTTGTGGTTTACGACTCCCAGATGGTCCTGGAACAGGACGTCAATGCATACCAAACCAAACTTCAGACGAACCTTTCCGTTTCGTCAACTGCAGTGCCACTTCTGATGGTAGCTTCAAATGACACAGCTTACGTGAAGATCTCCAAGTTGGAGAGTGCCACCATCGAGGAGGAGGTTCAGAGCGTGCAATTACAGCATTCAAAGGAGTTAACAGAAAACGACACCCACCTTACGCTTCCAAAAGCGCTAGATACAGTGCTCAAGAGCCGATGCCATGAATTCATTAACCGTCATTTGATTCCTCACATGGAAGCTAAGCTCCGTGTTTGGGGCGACCTGATATTGGCGCCTAAAAAGTCCATAACGGGCAGATTTTTTTCAGTGTCACGAAAACTATTCAACAACAACAGCTCCAGTGATCTCAATCAAACCGAAAAGAGCCAGTTCAATCACAAAGAGAACTATTACCACAGGTCCAGTTCCGAACAAGCAATTAGAAAGCTTGCCGATTGGTCACTCATTCTCAAAGACTTTAAGTACGCATACTCCACATATGACCTCATCAAAAAGGACTACATCAACGACAAGGCGTGGGTCTACGTTGCATCCACACAAGGAATGTGCATCATTTCGCTTCTATTGACACAGACTCAGCCACTTGCCTCAGACACTCCACCACAAGCACCGGATAAGAACACCTTACGAAAGATCCGCCATGACATTATCGAGCCATACATTGATAATCTATCCTATACATTCAAATCACGACTCAACGTCAAAACGTACGCAATCAGAGCCTACTTGGTGGTTGCCGAGCTACTTCTTAGCATGGGGATGATGTTTAATATTCCCTGGTGGTTTGGCGACTTGATAGAGAACTACTATCTCAAGTGTATGGGCGAGATCGATTCTCACCTTGCATCATCTGCGGAGAACCCTCAGGTAATAAGGGCCTTGCTTTACGAAAGACTTGGTTATTCCTCGAGTCGGAATCATTTAGTTCCTGGCGAATTTAAATGGCTCTTGAGTGAAAAGCATGAGACTCTTCCCAAACGTGAGGTCAAAGAGGACACACAGGAAATAGCCGATGAGAAGGAGGCCACGGAGGAGGACTTGTATATCAACGAGCAAAAGCTCTATGCAAACAAGCCCAATGCTCTTGTTGGACTCACGAGATTCCGTAAAAGCGCAGCATGGTATCTTTTGGCTATGAGAGAGTGGCTAGAGCTCAAGGATAAGGAGTACGTGAGGCAGCTTATGGCCAATGTTTCGGAGTGCTTTGAAGTGTCCGAATTGACCGAAGAGTGGTACGACAGGCCCGAAAGCCTTCTTGGGGTCATCAAACTAAAGCTGAAGTAGGTTTTTCCGTATTTACAACGAGCTTCGAGCTCCTTATAGAACTAATGCAAATGTCACCAACAGCGGTCGACTATTCCAATTGCCGGATGGCAAGTTTCCTCCTCTTGTCCATGGACAATTTGATGCTGTCGCTGGACTCGTCCTGAGGATTCATGCCAAAGAAGCTTTTAAATCTGTCACCAGCAGGCACCATACCGACATTCTCTGCGCCTTTAAGACGGGATAAACTGAAGAGCTTGGAGTTGATACCACCGACATGAGGCTCGTCATCCTCGTCGTGGCCAACAAAGTCTTTGGCATTGAGCAAACCTTGACGCACGGCAAAGTTAAACACAGCGTCACTGAGCTTTTTGACCAAGAGACCAAGGTAGCTGGGGAAGAAGGTCGATAGCGCAAACAGGTCGGATCTGTCTCCCTTCGGTAGGTTCTCGTCGAACTTGAGGTTGGTTGGGGAGGCCATAGGAGCCTCCACATGCGGAGTTTTTATGGAAAACGGAATCAAGTAGGACTGGCGTTCGTTGGCGCCGTCTTTGAAAAAGCGCAAGTACGTCCAAGAGATGGCGAAGGCGGCCAATGCTTCACAATGCAAGATATGCCAGTCTGGCCAAATGAGACCGGCCAACACCAAGAGAACATACCAGCTGAACGGCACAAACGTCACCTTGATCCGCAACAAGTTTTTGTATAAAATGATGTAGTGATTTGCAATTCTCTGCTTGACGGCAACCAAGCAGGCCATGACAATTGGTGTCGTGGAAGACACCACAGGAGGCACCGAGGACAGCTGGCCAAAAGCGTTTTTGGTGGCGTACCAGAAGTAAAGGGCCATGTTGCATGCAAGAACAGCTATAAGAACAAACTTTGCAAACGCCCTAGCACCCCAGCGGGCCTCCAAGTACCAGCCTAAATAGAATATGGAGGCTGCGGCCAAGGCAAGCCCTATGAAGCTTTCCTCAATGAACGATGCTGTGAGGAGCACCCAGGGCCGAAGCGCCACGGGCAGACGGGTAGGAATAAACGTAAGAAAAGGCACGTATAGATCATGAGGGTGGGGAACCTCAGAGTCCAGGGTGGGCTCTTGCTTGTGAGCAGCCACTATGAGCAGAAAGTAGGTATAGTACTTGAGCATGGCGTTGAGAAGCAGAAGCAGCAAAACGGCCACGGTGACTATGGACGCCACTTTCGGCGGGTTCATTATGAACTAAGGTGGATGGAGGTGGGTGGAAGCGGAAGTGGGTACTTAAAAGTCAAGTAAGGTGTTGATTCCTCAGCGCGACATCAACACTTTTAATTCCTACTACACCTTCTTACATCGGAATGTTCAGGAGGGCGTATACCACAGTGCAGCCCCGCGCACGGCCCACGTGGCGGGATCTGCTTCTGCCGCTGGTGTTCAAATCGTTATTTCTTACTTTGGTCTTTGGGTCTGTGGTGGTTGAGGCTACTAGAGGACGTAAGGAGCTTGAAGCGTTGAAAGGCGCCTACGAGGCGAAGTTCAGAATCTTGGAGGATGTCACGGGGAAGGTCCGCAGAAGAGAGCCTGTTGACGTTGCTCAGGAGCTCAAGATTGCCAACGCCATCACGAGGCATAAGTACAATTCGGTGACTGATGTGGAGATGGATGAGCAGTTTGAGGAGATACTCCGCATGGCCGATGAGCCAGTGGAGGAGTCTAAGGTTGTTACGAAGGAGGAGGAGATTCCAAGAGAGAGTGTTGCAGAAAAACCACAATCGGCAAAGTTCCTTTGATGGACTCACATGTATATATAATCGAGAGGTGAAGAGTGATACTCCAGTAACGGCCATGCCGTTGTGATATATAGCAAAGTAAACGTGATACGAGAGAGCTGAATGTAGGCGTAGCATTTTTCAGGTCTACAATCCACTCTGATACAAATACATTACCCAATACTATTATGAACCCATTCTAGACAACTGCCAACTTCCTGATACTTCTTCTTTGTGCGTCACCAGTCTCCACGACCTTGCCCTCCAGCTGCAACCTTCTGATACACTCGTTGAGATCGCTGTTCTCGATTCTGATACTCAGCTTCTCATTAAGCTTGGTCACAAGCTCCGTGAACCGAAGTTGCTGGTTGTTGCTGTCGTCAAGCAAGCCAAGCACCTCGTTGGCCAAATCCTCTTGCATTCTTCTCTTGGCTGTCGTCGTGCCGGTTTGCACCATGTCCATATCAATTCTGCCAGTAATAGGGTCGGTGGCATAGTCCTTGATGGCCGACTTGATCAAACGCACAGCTTCCTTCACATCAATGAGGTCAACGGTAGGGCTCAATCTCATCTTAGCATGGGCCTCGGCCAAACGCACCATAGACTCGAGTTGTCTGGTGGTAGCGGTGATTCTCTTTTCAGAAGAGCGGGCATCGTCACCAAGCTTTCTCATATCGACGTAGGCTCTCACCAACTCGGCCTTACTTTCGCTGGTGATCTGTGGGTTGATGTTCTCCTTAGCGTACTGAATGTAGACGCTGAGGGTTTCAACTGGAAGCACCTTGTTGGCGGACACGGTCTCTGGAACATCTTCCAAATACATGTCAGTGATGTGACGAGCCAATTGTCTGTCGATGGACTCGTCAACCTTGTCCAAAATCAAGTACACAAGATCGAAACGGGACAACAATGGAGGAGGCAAGTCAATGTTGCTGGTGACCGGTAAGTTAGGGTCGTAGCGAGAGTTGATGGGGTTGGCTGAAGCTAAGATCGAGGTTCTGGCATTCAATGTCGTAATGATACCAGCCTTGGCAATAGAAATAGTCTGCTGCTCCATGACTTCGTGCAACACCGATCTAGTGGCATCACTCATCTTGTCAAACTCATCAATACAACACACACCTCCATCAGAAAGCACAAGAGCACCAGACTCCAAAACAAGCTGTTTTGTGTCAATGTCTCTGGTGATGTACGCTGTCAAACCGACTGCAGAAGAACCCTTACCAGAGGTGTAGATACCTCTTGGAGAGATCTTGTGAACATATTGCAAAAGCTGAGACTTGGATGTGGAAGGATCACCGCAAAGCAAAATGTTGATATCACCTCTGTATCTACCACCTTTTTGGAAAGTCTTGTTAGCACCACCAAAAAGCTGAAGCAAGATACCCTTCTTGACGTCGTCCATCTCGTAAATAGATGGAGCCAAAGAGCGGGCCAACACTTCGTACAAATCGTCTCTTTGGGAAATCTCCTTCACCCGATCAATGTCTTCGGCGCTCAAGTGTCTCACCTGTTCAACCTCGTTGGTGTCAGTAGCTCTTTGCAGCATGGTCGAAGGGTCCACGCCCAATTTCTTGTTGTCGATCTTTTTGATATGGACGACATCCAAGTATGTCTTGTACAAGTTCTTCAATGCTCTTTGACGGGCATTGACACGAACAGCCAAAGATCTGAAAATACCACACACTTCCACACGGTCACCGGCACGGCAAGTGTCTACGAGCTCATCGTAAACACACAAATTGATAGAGTGTGGAGTCTGTCCGTCTGGAACCAAGTCTGGCGTCTCTTGCAATTTGATAACCTGCTTATCAGCGAAGGACGAACGGTTGTGAACGAGGGACATGGAGTTGACCTGACCACAAACCTGTCTAGGACACTTTGTAGGTTCAGAGATGACACCACGGTCGATTTCCACGGCGATAGTATGGTCACAAGCGTTACACTTGAAGAAAGCGACCTTCATGTCGGGAATAATGGCACTGGCCCGCAACACCAATCCCTTGACGCTAACCAACTTGTCGATATCATTTGGGTTCAATTCACGCATACCACGAGGAACAGCATTGATGTTGTAAGGTCTGATGGTGTAGATGTTGGTTTCGATATCGTCAATGGATGTTGGCACGGCAGAGGAGTCCAGGAAGAGCGAAACAAGGCAGTCCTTGACGGTCTGGTCCATGATGGGAATGACTTCCTGGGGGTAGTTGATGAGCTGGTAGTAGAGCCTGTTCGTTCCTTCATAGGCTTTCAAGTTAGCGGCATCCAAGTTCAAGTTGGTGGTGCCCAAGTCTCTCATGTTATTAAGCTGGCCCACATAGTAGAGCTCCGAGTCCTCTGGGTAGACAGGCTCGCCGTCGGCCACTTTACGGCACTTCATCTTGAACAGCATGAGGAAGTCTCTGAAGGCGTTGGTGCAATCCTGGATCGACACGTTTGTACCCCAAATGACTCTGACTGGCTCAGCCGAATCTTCATGGTTTGGCTGCGAAGACAACTGAGACGAGCCCAATCTTGACGAGCCCACCTGCGAGCCGAGCTGATTGCCCCTTTCACTTGAAAGCTGGGCACCGTCAAACATTCTTCTTCTAGGAGAGGCGTCTCCGTACAAGTCGGATCTGATTGGCCTTCTCACGATTCTGTCGACGTCCGAAGTGAGGGCATCAGAACGAATTCTCGAGCTCAGTGGAGCACCTCCACGACTGGACGAGCTGTATGGAAGCGGGGAGGAGACTTTCCTCGAGTCCGAGGAGCGATTGGGATCGGAGGAGTGGTCGAAGAAAAGAGGCGACGAAGCCAGCTCTAACGGCTGGTTTTGCGAAGCCAGATTCAGGTAGGAGCCCAGGGCCTGGGTGGAGTCTCCATTGGAGGGTCTCACAGGCGTCAGGGCTGGAGGCGAAGAGTCTTCCATCACTGGCGGAGATGACATGGTTTAGGTGTTTTGGAAAGAAAGTGGATGTGGATGAAGAAAGGTGGTAACGTTTTTCTCGCGACGCGCGTAATTAATCCCAATGCGGTGCGTGCAGGTCCCAGGGCAGAGAGGGTTGGGCGTATGGAGGCTGGGCAGGGATTATTTGGAGGGTGAGTTTGATTATTGTATTTCTCGGATTATTAATTTTAAGGTCACGAAAAGAAAATAGTTATTTTTTTTTTGTGGCGGAAGATTGATGGGGTAGTTTGGTGAAAGTTCGCGTCTGAGCAGACGCGGCTGCCTCGGTGTCGTACCCTCCGATATAGGCATAATATGGAGAGTACATCACGGAGGCTTTTACAGTGAGGATGGGTTGATCTTGAGTAAAAATGGGGTGGAGATCCAATTCAATTAAAAGTATTAGAAATTATTCATGAGATGGGGCTGGATTTCGAATTGGAACATACGGCATCTTCAATTGATCCGGGTAGTTCATTCAATTGAAGTCAATTGAAGGATTCTTAAGGGAAGCCATGGACTTAGAGGCCTCTCACTGGGTAGCACCCTTTCAGAGATGCATCTTGAGGATGGAAGTTCAGAGTCCCCTTTTTTGACCTTTCGACAATGTGAAGAGACTTGCCTATTAAAAGAAGCAACAGCGATAGGACGAGTTTTGCAATCCTGAGACAATTTCCAACTTACACTGTCTGTAATTCTATGTAAATGAGGGTTGGGTGCAAATTGAGCTTTCACGGTGATTTTTCAGAGAACCTCTCTCAGAGCATTAGTCGATCGTTCAATTTTACACACATTTATATGCCAATTCAGCTAATTCGACCGTCTTTTTTACTAAAGTCTAGAGAAGGTCTTGATCGAGAGAAGCACATTCGTGACGTCATTTCCACTCCACCAAAGCCAGTCCAGTGAGGAAGCCATTGTTCACCCCACCGCCATATTTTTCACCCGAGCAATACCAGAACCACCCTTACCCAAACAAACTAACAAAAACTAAATCTTTCTTTCAATTGATATCACAATTTCACAAAATGCTCAAAAATCAATACCCAACCTCAATCAACCCGAATCCATACCCGCCATTCCGCTCAGGTTCCAACCCCACTCACAATAACCGTTATAGGTCAAGCAAAATCTCCCGATTTGTCCGCCATAGTGCACCCCCTCTCTCCACCGATCTTCAATCTCGAGGCCTTCCGAAACAAAAGACGATTTATCAAGAAAATCAAAAAATTATCCACAAACTACCTACTTCTCTAGCTAATGGTAGCTCCATGGGACTGCACCTTTTCTTATATTGATAGAGCCCTGCCTCCCTAGATCCCCGGAGCGTTTTCGCAGCCACATCCCACACCTCCTTCCTGAAAAAGCTATAAATACCAGAGGATCTCGCACTTTTTAAAAACCTCAAATCCCTCCTTTTTTCTCTAACAACATTAATAAAACTACCATGCCCCGTAGGAACGGCTAGCAGCTCCTCGGTCCCAGGTGAGGGGAGTGCAGGCCATGTGACGAGCCCGGGCCGCGAACACTATATAACGACCTACTACCCCAGATAATCCTCGACAACCTACCCCTACTAGACTATGACTAAGGTTACCGTTTGTGGTGCTGCCGGAGGTATCGGCCAGCCTCTTTCCCTTTTGCTCAAATTGAACACCCGCGTGACGGAGTTGTCGTTATACGATATCGTCAATGCCAGAGGTGTGGCTGCCGACTTGAGCCATATCAACACCCCTGCGGTTGTTACTGGCCACCAGCCGGCTAACAAGGAGGATAAGACCGCCGTGGTGGAAGCCTTGAAGGGTTCCGACGTGGTGATTATTCCTGCTGGTGTGCCCAGAAAGCCCGGCATGACCAGAGCTGACTTGTTCAACATCAACGCCTCCATCGTGAGAGACTTGGTTGCCAACATCGGCAGAACGTGTCCCAACGCTGCGATCTTGATCATTTCCAACCCCGTCAACGCCACCGTGCCAATTGCCGCCGAGGTGTTGAAGAAGTTGGGCGTGTTCAACCCCAAGAAGCTTTTCGGTGTCACCACGCTCGACTCCGTCAGAGCAGAAACGTTTTTGGGCGGCCTCATTGGCGAGAAGCCCGAGTCCTTGAAGGGCAAGATCTCCGTTATCGGTGGCCACTCTGGTGACACCATCGTGCCCTTGACTCACATTGACCCAGCCATTGGCGCCAAGGTCGACAAGCTCTCTGCTCTGCAATACAAGGAGTTCGTTCACCGTGTCCAGTTTGGTGGTGACGAGGTGGTGAAGGCCAAGAACGGTGCTGGTTCGGCCACGTTGTCGATGGCTTACGCCGGTTACAGATTTGCCGAGTCCATCTTGGACTCGATCTCCGGCCCAGGCTTCTCCGTCAAGGTGCCCGACTCGGCCTACGTCTACTTGCCAGGCTTGAGAGACGGCGGCGACTTGCAGAGCCAGTTGAACAACGTGAGCTTCTTCTCTGTGCCCGTGCACTTGCTTGCTGGCGAGATTCTGTCCTTCGAGGACCCATTGAAGTTCAAGGTCACCGACGGCGAAAAGGAGTTGGTCAAGGTGGCGTTGGGCGGCTTGCAACTGTCGATAGCCCAGGGCACCAACTTTGTGGCTGGCTCCAAGATTTAGTGCTAATACTACGGACTGTGGACGGTATACGTTCTATTGATACTCTAGTGGTAGATACCCATACCTCTTCTTTTTTCGACCAAAGCCCAGTACAGAGAGCCCGATTTGGTTCTCCAGTACTTGCCGGTTGCCATCATGACAAAGAAAGTTCCAATACAGAACAAGCAGATGAACGCAGCAGCAATAAAGGTGTTTTGCAAGCCTTGGTTTTCGACCCACGGCGTGATACCATAGCTGACAGCGAAACTCATACAATTTCTAATAATCACAACCGCTGCAATTGCTTCACCAGAAACTTCATGGTAACAATCCACCACATAAGTAACGGCATTGACAGTACCAAGGATACACAAACCAGCTGTGATTCCAAAGCCTATAATCACACCAAACCAGTGGATGCCGTGATAAGCGCCAACTCCCCATAATATTAGGCCACCAGGGCCCAAAATCATATAAAGAATCAAAGCCCAAAGACGGTCTTCAGCTTCAGAGATTCCGCCTCTTTTTCTGGCGATTTTCACCTTCAACCAGTCGACGACCCAGCCGGCGTAAAAGTATAGAAGGACGGTGAAAACACACGGAGAAGCATATGCCAATCCACACATGGCACTGGAGAAGTTGTATGGTGGAGCACTGAGGACCATAGCTGAGGTTGCATTGAGCACAGTGTACCAAATAAGCGTGGAGCCATAGAGAAAACCGGACCAGAGCACGATGGGGTAGCGGAACATGTAAACGGTGGTTTTGATGAATTCCCACATCAAGAACTTTTTGGTGATGCCCAGCGTGAGGGAGAGTTTCTGGATAAACGTTTTGGTGGGCTTGTATTCTGGAGCATTATCCACCGAGACCAATTCCGCCTGATTTCCAATGTTTGTGACGGCTTGCAAAAGCTCTTTATCAGACAGGGACGATTTGGAGTTGACGGTAACAACAGGCCTCGTTTTCTCCCATTGACCACCAGAAGTCACCACAGCCAAGGTCTCTCCAGACTGGTCCTTGGCCACCTTGAGTTTTCTTTCGTAGGTGGTCTCCTCCATGAAAAAGAAAAGAAAAACAAAGCTGACACTGGCGAAAATGATCGACCAGAAAATCACCCATTTCCATCCTCCCACAGCGCTGTCTGCCAGGTTCTCGTTGATGAAACCAGCCACCAACGGCGCTATATAATTGGAGGCATAAAGCGACACGGCGTAGATTCCCATATAAGTGGCTCTTTCGTGTTCAAAATAAACCTCTGAAATGGAAAGTTCCGGTAAGGCCTCAATGGGTGAGTTGAAGAGACCCGAGAGAATCTTGGACGCTATCCACTCACCGTTGGAAGTGACATACGGCTGCCACAAATTGAAAAACGGTCCACCGAGACAAGAAAGAAGGTAAACGGGCCTTTTGCCGATTTGCAACGCCAAAGGCTGGAATATGATATTGCCCAAACCCATGAACAAGAACGAGTACCCAGTGCCGGCATTGAGGTCTCCCAAGCTGATGCCTGTGCCTTTGGAGATCTCCGGCAAAATGGAGTAAATACAAGTACCTGGGACTCCGACGGCAAAAACGTAAACGACAATGCAGAACATGTGGAGTCTCTTTCTGTTAGGTGACCAGTTTAATGGGTCGTTGGGGTCATCGGATGGTGTGGGGATGAGGATGACTTCGTGATCTTTGTCTTTTTGGCTGTCGACCAAGATTCCAGTGCCAGGCACCACGGAGTAGTCGATCATGCTTGAGCTTTTGTGGGGATGATACCGATCAGTATATATACGGGAAGAGCATCGACTGATAAAGGCGTTATCGATTTCCGCTGGAAAAAGCAATCACGTCGGCTGTCTGGACCTGCTTCTTGAACTACATGAACACGATGCAGCTGCTAAGCATGGCACAGGCGGTTTTGGGTAACTGCCATTGTGATTTGTGGTACCACTTTGCATTGCGCCAGAGATAAGCAATTGCGCTTTGACGGGGGCGGTTTTGGTGATAAGCGGGTCATTTTCATGATTTTTTGTTTTTCAATCTTCACCGAAAACCAGCCGCTAGCTCATTTCCGTGATATGAAACCGCCTTATCGACGGTATAGCCGCTGAGCAGACGCCTCGGCTATCGCCCAATTTGAGTCCGCCAGTGTTTTAGGAAATGCTGCTAGAGTTGGTTTGAGAAGCATTTGGTGAAGTGGGCTTGTAAATTACGAAAATTTTATTTTGTTGACTTGATGAAAGTTTGGAATCGAGAAGTCGAAGCTCAAGAGGCGCTGATAAGCCAATCACATGAGCATAGAGTACAAAACGATCCAACGCTGTTCCTTGCAGTTGCCACTGCACGGTTAGATGTCATGGTCCAAAAGAGAAATGCTTTCGGCTGGTGTTGGTTTAAATGAGGATCATGTTCGATAACGCCCATGATGATGGATATGTTGGATTCTGATTTAGTCTCGGCTAAGCCTCGAGAGACTAGCCAACGGTTCTGAATCGTGATTTGAAATTGTGAGGCTAGTGATATGCTGGGGACCCAGTGGCGAAGTTCTACAATTGAATGAAAGTGGGCTTTCTTGAGAAAAGATGTCATTGTTGTGAGATAGGATCCACATAGCGAAGCTTTAGGGGGCATAGAAGGAATTACTAAGAAGATAGTAGCAAGTTTTTCCAGTAGAAAATAGAGAATACGTTTCAATGTTCGGCTAGTTGGCTGCCGAGATCAGCATCAAATTTGGGAAGCCCCGAAGCCTTGGAACACTAATAATGTTTCTTGCCATGAGTCAGTATTTTGTAAATCAGTTTAGTGCTTGGTAAGAAACATTATTAATCCCTGGGTCGTTATGTAACGTTTTACAACTTTTAACAACGCAGGTCTGAAATTAATCAAGAGTTGGTATGTTGCCTCACCCTACTTGACTACTTTCCTTCAAATTGAAAAAAATTGCTTCTACTGAATTCAAAATCTTAAAGGTCTTGTCTGAATAGAAGAAGATATGTTTCCCTGTGCCTACACTTACCAAGACTCCTTGAGCCCGATTACCCACCATCTGCCCAACTTACACACCAACACCATCCATTGAGCCAAAGAACCACCACTTAAAGCAATTCCAAGCAACCCAAAATAAAATAAGTATATGAAATAAGTATTTGACTTGGCCACTGGGTCGTGAGACCACACCCCCAAAGCGGAAGAGGAAGCACCTCCACATCCGGAGATTACGTACGATAACGTCACCGTCATTTTTAAGCCTAGCATTGCTCAATTGCAAAACTTCCCTTCCATACCTTAAAACCCACAATTGACCTCCACGTACAATTTTCACACTTTACTCTTCAGCATCTCAGCTCCCCTCAGTGCCAGTGTTCCGGGCCGGTGAAAAGTGAAAAATCCGAAAACCACGAAACCCACGAAACCCACGATTCCCACGAAAACACTCGAGATCCAAACCTCAACCAAATTAAAAAGACCACTTCCCCAGACAATGCAAGATCTCTGTCCTTCCTCGCCCTCGGAAATAGTTCTGTTTTAAAACCGCCCACCTTATCTCCCATACCAGTGCGCCCCAATCCAGCCTAACCCCACACTGGCCCAGTTGAAAAATCACACCGAAACCGCCAAAACACAAAAAACACTCGAAATCGCCTCAAAACGACCAATTGATCGAATTCCGAGGACCCTCTTTCCCAAAAACTTCCTCCTTTTCTATCCCACCCAGACACCGTCTTTTTGGGCTACCCCAGATTTATCGGCCTTTCACGTGTGAATTCCTCCGACCTACTACTTCTTCTTCATGAACCAGGTGGACAACCTCCTCGAGGAGCTCGTGCTTCCCCACGACGGGAACCTGCTTCTGGACATCAACGGCCTAGTCGCCGGCTACACGGATTCCAAAAAAACAAAGTACCTTGCTGCTAAGGGCGTCAAGCGGTTCGATAAGTTGGACCCCGTCACCACCGACACAAGACTTGCTTTCTTCAGCTGCACCAAGACCATCACGGCCATGGCGGTGTTGCAGTTATACGAGCGGGGGGTCATTGATTTGGACGCTCCAGCCAAAAACTATCTCCCCATGATCGGTGAAATCGGCCTCATAGATCCAGGCCAGGTGGACGACGAAACAGGCGAGTTCAAGACGCCACCGAGGAAACCGAAAAATGACGTGACCGTTCGCCACTTGCTTCTCCACACGGCGGGCTTTGCCTACGTGTTCACGGACTCCGACTACTTCAGCATTGTCATGAACAAGCACAGAGAACACACGGGCGCTACTCCTTCGTTACGCATGTTCTCCACCGACGTGATGCCGTTGGTGTTTGAGCCAGGCACGCTGTGGCGCTATGGCCATTCGCTGGACTGGTTGGGCTTGGTTGTAGAGGCTGCTACGAAGATGAGGTTTTCAGAGTACCTTCAGAAGAACATCTTTGACCCAGCAGGCCTCTCCTCGTTCACCTTCCGTATCGAGAACGAGGACGCCTTGATTCCCGTGAGTATGCGTCGTGACGACGGCTCGTTGCGTGTGTTGAAGAAGAAGCCTGTTCCTCATAAACCCAGCATCGACATGGGAGGACAGGGCTGTTTTGGCACTGTGGGCGATTTCTTGCAATTCATGAGGATCTGGCTCAACAAGGGTTTCTGTGTGGAGACCGGTGCCCAGATCTTGAAGCAAGAGACAGTAGAATACGCCATCAAGGCCCATTTGCCTGAAGGTGTCCATGTGGAGCTCGACACTGCCATGACCGGCGAGGCTCCCTCCGACTTTGTTCCAGACAACTTCACCCTCACAGGCACAGCGTACAACATGAACAACTTGCCCACTGGCCGGCCCAAGGGCTCGATCTACTGGGCTGGTTTGGCGAGTTTGTACTTCTGGATCGACTTTGAGAACGATCTTGCCGGCTTCTTTGGGTGTCAGATTCTTCCCTACCTTGACTCGCCGTGTCTTGTGGGGTACATCAGGTACGAGAATGCTGTGTACGAGGCGGAGAAGAAGGAGAAGAACCGTGGCAAGCTCTGAGGCGGTATGTCTGTAGCATTATGACAATATATGGAATCTAGAGTGGGGCTTGTAGGTGGGGAGTTTTGGGTGAGTACCTAGTGGAGGCGGTCGTTGGAAAGTGAAGTCGTGACGAAAGGCAAGTGTTATCAGTTTGAAATATTCATGGTCAATGAAAGTTGATTAAATAAAAGTTGAACAAATGAAAATTGAACAAATGAAAATTGAACAAATGAAAATTGAACAAATGAAAGTTCATTGTTGTCGTTCTTCTATGGATAGTTGAAATCTGCTACTAAGGCCATCAGAAATACACCTCAATCAAATTCTTATTCACTCATCTTTTGCATCTCATTTTCTTGTGGCTCTCTTTATGGATTTTCAACCCTTGACTAAATGATACCGCAAACCGTTAAGTGAACTTTTTATTGACGCATGTTTCCGACTTCCACTTACCCTACCTCCCACCCGCTAACTCAATCTGATACTTTTCTATTCACATAATATGTAACGTAATCCTAGGCAACCCTAGTCCAGTCTAGTGCAAGCCAAGCTTGTCCATTCTCACCTGAACAGCGTTTCTGTGGGCCTCCAAGCCCTCCACGGCAGCTAGCGTCATGACAGCCTTGCCTATGCTCTTCAAACCCTCCTCGGTGACGTTCTGTGACGTGATGAATTTTTGGAACGTCGCCGTGTTCACGCCAGAGTACTGTCTGGCGTAACCGTATGTGGGCAATGTGTGGTTGGTTCCACTGGAGTAGTCACCACAGGATTCAGGCGACAAACCACCGACAAACACGGAACCGGCGTTTTCGATCTGACCAGGAACAAAAGATTCTGGGTTCTCGATTTGCAAAATCAAGTGCTCTGGTGCGTACTGGTTGCTCAATCTGAAGGCCTCCTCATAAGTGTCAACGAGCAAAGTGGTGGAGTGGGCCAAGCACTTGGCCACAATTTCCTTTCTGGGGAGCACCTCCGCCTGTCTGGCAACAGCCTCTTCAAAAGAAGCAAGCTTAGCGTCGCTCAAACCAACACCAAGAAGAATCACCTGAGAGTCCACACCGTGCTCGGCCTGAGACAACAAATCAGAAGCGACAAAGTCGGCATCGGCGTCCTTGTCAGCAATAACTAGCACCTCCGATGGACCAGCGGGCATGTCGATCGAACAGAGAGCCTGGGTGTCGTTTTGAACATGCATCTTGGCAGCAGTGACAAACTGGTTGCCTGGACCCAAAATCTTGTCACACTTGACCACGGATTCCGTACCGTAGGCCAATGCAGTGACGGCCTGGGCGCCTCCAGCCATGACAATAGCAGAAGCACCGAGCTTGTGGGCAACGTAAACGACCTCTGGGGTCAATTTTCCAGTAGCACGCAGTGGAGGAGAAGCAAGGATGATGTTTTTGCAACCAGCGACCTTGGCAGGGGTTCCCAACATCATGGCCGTAGAGGGCAACACGGCAGTACCACCGGGAACGTACAAACCGACGTTTTCAATGGGTTTGGCAAAACGAGAGCAGTACACACCAGGAGCGGTTTCCACGGTCATCACCTCCTCCTTGGGGAGCTGGGCCCTGTGGAATTTTTCAATGTTCAGCATCGACAAGTCGATGGCCTCCTTCATGTCGGCAGAAATGTCCATGAGCTCTGCTGGGAAAGGTGCCTTGAGAACAGGCTCCTTCAACTCCACACCGTCGAATTTGGCCGTGAGCTCCACCAAGGCCTTGTCGCCGTTCTTCTGCACGTTTTCCACGATCGGAAGCACCAACTTCATGATATCGGACGTCTTTTGGTTGGGTCTGGTCAAGGCCTGGGTGATTTCCTCGGAAGAGGCCTCAGAGGCCTTGATGATGTTCATTTTGTAAGTTGGCTCCGTCTCCGTCTTTCTCTTCTTCGCCGCAGGCTCCTCCACGTACTGGGGCTTGGCGTCGCCCTTTCTTCTCGTCACCTTCATCAGCTTGATGTCCAAGTTTCTCTCGATCTCAGCCAAAGAGACGCCGTGCTTGACCGCCCAGGTCATGGCGAAATAGAACAAATCCGCAGCCTCCCAGGCCACCTCGTTCTTGTCCTTCTTCTCGCCCGCCTCAATGAGCTCGTCCAACTCCTCCTTCATCTTGGCAACCAACAACTTATCGTCGTCAAAGAGCCTCTTGGTGTAGGAGCCTTCCGGAGCATTGGCCTTTCTTTGAGCCAAAGTAGCGTCCAATTTGGCCAAACCAACACCACTGGAGTCTGCCAGCTCCCGGAGCTCGCCGTCCTGGAAACATGTGTAGTTGGTTTCCAAGTGGCAGAAGCCGTAGCCGGTTCTAGGCTCCACCACAAACTTCACCACGTCGTTGTCGCAGTCTTTCTCCAACTTGACGAGCTTCTGCGTGGCGCCAGACGTCTTTCCCTTGTACCACAACTCCTCTGGTCTTTTTCTGGACTGGTATACGCCCTGGCCCTCGGCTATAGCAGCCTTGATGGAAGCCTGAGACGAGTAAACCACACCCAAAGCCGTGTACAGCGGCGCAGGGGTCGTGACAAGCGTCGTGTAGAGCCCGTCGGGTCTGTCTGTGGTCAAGGTGGCGACAAAAACGGACGAAATGGCGATTTTGGCTGGGTCTTCCTGGGCCATAGTCAACTGAGAAGTAGGAAGCACCAAAGTGTAGCCCTGGGCGGCCAAGGTCTGGGCGCTGTTCTGGTCGACGGCGCCTCTGTAGAAGACCTCTCTGTTGCCGCTGTTGCTGAAACTTTTGAGCGTATCTTTGTCCAAAGGCTCCTTGACAACGAGAGCAGCTTTCAGCTCGAGCACCTCTGGAGCAGACGATTCCACAGCAAGACGGGCTGGCGGCACGCCGGCGGCGACCAAGGCGGCAAAGTGGTCGAAATCAACGAAAATCTGGGAAATGCCCACGTTCAACAGGGCAATCGCCTCGTCGGCAGAAACAGCTTCATTGGAGGCATCCACCGACACTGTAACCGAGGAAGGAAAACGGGCAAGAAGGTATTTTTCAGGTTTCACGGAGGAAAACGGCACGAGCGTTTTTCCAGTGACTGCAAACGCAGCAGCGTCGTCGGCCGTGGCTGCTAAGGGGAGCACGGGAAACGTCATGGTGGTTGAAGTTCTGGATATTTTTCAGCCAAGATAGATAAGATATGCGCGGCCTCTGAGTCATCGAGGTTTGGAGAAATGGTGAGAGGAAGGGTTGGCAGGGAGAAATAGAGAGAATCTGATTGGCGGAGACGGAGAAGGATTGGGTTGAGTTGGATTTGGCGGGGTTTTTACGGGGTGTTTTTGGCGTGAATTTAGGAGGTTCTGGAGATATGGGCCGTTTCGCAGCCAGATGAGCGCCAAGCGATGAGACCGTTGGACAGAGGGGGGAGGGTTGTAAATGGTGGATAAGCAGAAAATGTGATAACATGTTGGTGGACTATAGGAATTTTTTTTGAATAGGAAAAGATTTGTCGTTGGTGCCTGTTGTGTTGATTTTAGTTGGCCATGTGGGTCCATGTGGGGTGGTATTCACAGGACGGTAGGTGGTAGGAAGGTGACTGGGGTGAGTTGAATAAGGCGGTGAAGGCTTTTTACGATTGCAATCGGGTTTACTTCGAGAGAGTTTGAGAAAGGGAATAATAAGTTTTTGAATTTTGGGGGAGGAGGGTAACTAGGTGATTGACTAATCGGAGAGCTCTGTAAGGCTATTACATCATCGCCGTTGATGCCCGATTTGTGTAATTAGGCGAGTTACCCAGATTTCTGAAGATTGTAGTATTTTCCTTCCAAATGAAACGTGTTCTTGTTCTATGTGCTTCGAATTCCATTTTGTACCATAAATAAGCCTTGGCTTCATACTTTAAAGCTTCCATGGCCAGGCTGCGCAAGATGAGTAAAACCTACGAGCACCTCGCCTCTGGAAAATGAATAATCAGAGATTTTATAAAAATCGTTTGCCGCAGTATACATTTTGATTACTTTTTCAAAAGCTGCTTTGTTCAATAAAATGGTATGATAAACATATTGCTATGCTTTAGCCGTGCTGAGCAGCCTCCAACTACAAGTCCATCCTGATATCATGCATTATTTACTACCTACTTCACTAGAAGCTGAACTCGCCCCTGAACTGTTCCAAGTCCATCCCTGGCTTGACGAGCTCAACCAAATCTCTTCTGTCCATGGCAATGAACGCTCTCTTCAACGTCTCCATCAACGACGATGACTGGTTGTGACTAAGCGTCGACTCCTGTCCCTCCACCTGGTGCATCGCCAATCCACTGAGCAAGTGCTCGGCTGCCTCCTTGTAGCAGCTGATGTTGATGCACGAAACACCCAAGTTGTATCTAGCACGCACGAAGGTGGGTCTGAGCTCCAAAGCCTTGAAGTATGCATTCACAGCTTCCTCGGAGCGGTTGGAGTTGGCCAAAGAGGCTCCCAATCTGTTCCACAACACAGGGTCGTCTGGTCTGATCGAAAGAGCCGCCTTGAAGCAGTCGATGGTCTTGTCAAAGTCCTCGTTGGCATAGAAAAGCACACCGAGACCCATCTGAACATCAGCGTTCATGTTGGCCTGCTCGGGCGACAACTGGGCAGCCTTGATGAACAACTCAGTCACACGCTTGTGCAAGGTGAATCTGTCCTCGTCGGAGATAGTAGGGTTCTCCTGGCGAGCCTGTTCGGCAATGTCGGGGTATGTGGTGGCGATCCAACGCTCCAAGGTGGCAAAGGCGGCGTTGTCGTAGCCTTCGTTGATGTAAGAGATGGCCAAGGTCATCAAGGCCTCGGAGTTCTCTGGGTTCAACTCGAGACACTTCTCGAGAGCGGTGATGCCAGCCACCTCCTTCTCGTTCTGGGTCTGCACCTCACCAAGCTTGAGCCAGGCCTGAACGTGGCTCAGGTCACGGCTGATGGCGGCCTCGAAGGCCAAGGCAGCCTCGGACAACTTGGCGCCATTCTCCATCAACTGGAGACCAATCTGGTAGGGGTCCTCGGTTTGTGGCAAGTCCAAAAACTGGTTCTGCTCGTTCGACTCGAACTTGTAGTCACCAAAGTGGGCTCTGGTGGAGGCGTACTTGGCAAAGTCTCTCTCCCACTGTGACATGCTGGGAGGGTAGGTTTCGCCCTGGGAGTTCTTGAACTCCTCGTATTGCTGGGAAATGAAGTCGTTCTCGATCGAGTCCAGGTTCAACAGGTCCCACACTTCCTGAAATGTGGCCTGGTACTTGTCGTCAATCACAGGCTCGGCCTCCACATCCTCCTTCTCTGCAGCCACTTCTTCAGCTGCCGAGGCATCAGCACTGAGCTGCTCGATCTCCTTGAACTGGTTGTCCCAGTCCACTGAAGCATCTGCGGTTTCAGCCTGAGGCTGTTGCTGCTGGTGCTGCTGTTGCATCAGACTCGAACCCATCAGGTTCATGCCCATACCCATCATAGGTCTGTAGCTCATCATGGGCATTCTATTCTGCTGCATGTGGTTCTGCTGGTGCTGGGCCTGAGGAGCCTGGCCGAACTCAGAGGCCCACTGTGTGTTGTTCAAGGTTCTGGGGACGGTGCCTGTCGACTGGCTGTGGTGCTGAACCGGCTGACTTTGAGCGTTGAACTCGTTGAGCCAGTTTTGCTGGTTGGCCGCCGCCGAGGGCTGCAGCAGACTCTGGATTCGGTTGAGTTCGTGACGCATGGGCTGGAACTGGAAAGGCAGGGGCGAAGGCGATCCGCTTCCCATGAACTGCTCCAAGTCTCTCTGGTTCATCATCTTGTCATTTTTGAAACCCTGGTTGGTAACCTGGCCAGGCTGGTTGGTTTGTCTCTGAAGAGAACGATCTTGTTGAGTATGCTTGTTGAGCTGGGCCACAGCGTTGCCGTTGACCGAACAGTCAGCTCCACCGAAAAAGGACATTCTTGATTAGTAAAGACTTTTCGGCTTGGAAAATAAATATACAGCGGGGGTTTCCAGAACGCTAGCTGACTTTCAATAAATCTTGGATTAGACCGATTCTAGGAAAAAAAAGACAGCTTGGGTGGTTTTTATAGAAAAATCGCCTCGGTGGTGATCTCCACACCCGAGGCAAAACGTCACTCCAGACCCCCATATTTTGAGCCGCGCACGACCCCAACAGAGCCTGTGATAATTGACACGGGGGCGGGTGCAACCGATAAGGCGGATTTTGGGCTGATTTTCACGGGAAATTTCTGTTTTTCTAAATACTGCCATTTTCTTTCTTATCAAGCCAAAAAAATTCTAATTATCGCTGGATCCGCTGACTCATCACGGAAGACCGTGTAGGAATGGCTGCGAAAAAAATGGTCCCACGATCCAGAGATCTCGGGAAGTTGCGGAAATAGATGAATTTTTATGGAAACCGTTCAAAGGGGTTTTTGTATGGGGCTTGAAATTTAAAGTTGATTGTCTGATCGACTGCGCTGTGTCAATTGTGTCAAACCAAATGTGCAGACAACAATGGGCGGTTCAGGGTGATGCTTACGAGGATGCAGAGGAGGGGAGCTGAAAAATTCTGTTTTTTCTTTTAGTAGGGTTTTTGTAGGGTTGAGGGATATTTACGGTCTTTGATTTTGAGGGTAGAGAGGGTTCTTGATTTTTCGGTAGGGCATTGATTTTTGTGACATTTAGTGTGTGATGTATGCAAAGTTGAAACTCATGGAGACAGGCAGCCTTTCTTATAGTGAAGGACTCGAAAAACTAGAATGACAGTGATTTTGATATGAGGCTTTTAGTTGTCTACGGCTATATTTTGCATTAAAATTGTATATTTGTCTAAAGATATATCTAATTTGAAAAATGTTTCAGCATGAAACTAGACCATAGAGTAGATTTTCAATCTTTCGTCGAATCAAAAAAAGAGAAACTAAAAACGACCTATAGAGCGACAGTAAACACTTCTTTTAGAATGTTCTGATTGTTCTCAACTCAATACAACACCAAAACGCTCTACTCACTTTCCATCTCCATCAAATATCATTTAATTCTAAAGTCAAACAACTATTTCCCTGTTCAGCAGATCCAACCAGCAAACCTGCGCCTTCGTACTTCATCACCACTCGACCTCCTTGCCGCCGCTCTCACACTCGAGCCTGTTGCAAAGAGCCTCCAATTCTCTGACGCTCTCATTGGTGGAACCACCCAAAAACGCAGGGTTCACCAATCCGCCTCTCTTTTCTTCAAGAGCAAAGTGGTCCTTCACCATGTCTCTCACGAGACCCTGGTAGTGCAACACACCTCTTTCCTTCTGTGGGTGCAAGAAACCGGAGGAGTAGATACCCTGGTTCAAGTTCTTCTGCGTCAACTGACACAACTGGAAGTCCTCCAATTCAACCAACTGCAAGAAGTCCACAAACTCGACCTTCTCGTCCTCAGGAAGGCCCTTCTTGGTGTAGATGTCGTACTGCAATTTCGTCTGAGTGGCACTGATGGGAAGCACACGGATGGAGTACCAGGCTGGAGAGTAACAGTTGATACCGTTGGATGGGTACAAGTAAACCCACAAGCCGTTGAATTCACCACCAACGTTCTTCTTCTCCTCCTTCTTGGGAGGAGCAGCCTTCTTGCCTCCGAAGTTGAACCAGCCAGAGCTCTCGGGAGCCTTTTCTTGCTTGGGCTCGTTTCTGACAATTTCGGCATAGTGACGGCAGTACCTGTTTTTTGGAACAACCTTGTATGTTTCCATTCTGAAGGCGGCGTTCAAGCCTGGGTGGGCAGTAGGGCAGTGGTAGCATTCCTGGTAGCCGTCCATCAAGGTTTTCCAGTTGAAATCGCCGTCCAACTCGTAAGACATGTGGTATTCGTAGTCGGTGAAATCGAACTCGTTCATCTCCTCGGTGACACCCTCAAAGAATTCTTCAAATTCCATAAATTGCTCAGGGTCCTGGCAGAAGTTCACGAACACAAGACCCTGTGGAGTGACGTGGGTCTTGATGGGGAACAAGGAGTTTTCAGACTTCTTGAAGCCTTCGACATTGTCAAATTTTGGGGCCTTAGTCAATTGACCGTCAGAGTTATAAGACCAACCGTGGTATTTACAACCAACAACAGTAGAAGAGCCCTTCTCCTTCTGAACAACTGGGTAGGCACGGTGACGACAGACATTGTGGAAAGCTCTCAC